CCGCTCTGGTCTCTGACCCTGCCTGTCCTCCGTCTGTCGGGGGTGCTCCTGCCCTCGGTAGTGACGTCCTGGAGGACCGCCAGTACGAGCTTGCTTCCCTGTCCGAGGCTGCTCCCCATTTTTTTTCCATAATGTTAGTCCCTGAGGGTGACCCAAACACTTTCGACAGCCCGACCCCTCGCACTTACGCTGAGGCGACCTCGGACCTTGGACCTCTCCGTGGATAGCTGCCATGGAGCAGGAGATGGCATCTTGGAGATCCACCAGCACCTACGTCGACGCAGTTCCTCCACCTGGGATGAACGTAGTCGATGGCCGCTGACTCTTCAAGGTGAAGCGCCCTCCTGGAGAGCCGCATGTGTTCAAGGTGCGCTACGTGGCTAGAGGCTTTAGTCAGCGTGAGCGGGTGGACTTCTTTTAGACTTTCGCCCCGACGCTGAAGATGACTACTCTTCAGGGACTGCTACATGTAGCAGCACAGCGTGATTACGAGTTACACTCCCTCGACTTCTGCACTGCGTTTCTTCAGGGCAGTCTACACGAGCAGGTCTACCTGCGCCGCCCTCAGGGTTTCACTGGCACCTTCCCTCCTGGGACCCAGTGGCTTCTGCGACGCCCAGTCTACGGCTTGCGTGAGGCTCCCCGCGAGTGGCACGACACGTTGCGTGCTACTCTTGCGGACCTGCAACTCTTTCCGTCTTCCGCAGACCCCTCGCTCTTTGTTCGTTTTGGCCAGACTCCGTTCTACATCCTTGTTTACGTAGACGATCTGGTCTTTGCCATTGCAGACACCACCGCGCTGGCCTTTGTAAAGGCTGAGCTGCTGAGGAGACACACATGCACTGACCTAGGAGAGCTGCGCCACTACCTGGGCCTGCAGATCTCTAGAGGCAGATTAGCGCGCACCATCACTCTCACCTTGTCACACTTGGTGCGCCAGGTCCTTCAGAGGTTCGGTCTTCAGTTCTCCTCCGCACAGCCCACACTTCTTCCAGTAGATCACAGGCTCTCTGCTTGAGTTCCTGAGGAGTCAGCAGAGCCCAGTGGTCCTTACGCAGAGCTGGTGGGTTGCCTCATGTACCTGATGACTTGCACTCGTCCAAATCTCGCATACCCTCTCAGCATTATGGCTCGCTTTGTGGCCACAGGCAGACACAGACCTCAGCACTGGTCTGCAACTAACAGGGTTTTGCGTTATCTCGCGAGTACATCAGGCATGGGGTTAGTGCTGGGAGGACGCAGGCCAGTGGTCCTTACTGGGCACACAGATGCTTCTGGGGAAGACGACGCAGAGACCCTTAGGTCCTCGCAGGGCTACTGCTTTAGCCTTGGTTCAGGTGCTGTCTCGTGGAGAGCTACTCGCTCCTCGTCTGTTGCCCAGTCCAGCTGTGAGGCCGAGATCTACGCTGGTGCCATGGCTGCATAGGAGCTCCGCTGGTTGACCTTCCTGCTCACTGACTTAGGTGAGCGGCCTAGCTCTGCGCCAGTCCTGTACGCTAACAACAGGGCCAAGATCCTCCTGTGTCAGGAGCCTCGACTTGAGGGTAGAGCAAAGCACATCCAGCTGCGGTACTTCCTCCTGCGCGAGCTGCAGCAGCGTCGCCAGGCTCGCGTAGTACACTTGACCTCCGGTGCCAACACAGCTGATATCTTTACAAAGGCCCTTGCGCCTAAAGATCATCAGCGGCACGGTGTACAGCTAGGCCTTGTTCCTGTTACCTCTCACCTGCTAGGGCCTTGACTATGTACTGACCTTTATATATACTTTTGTTTATTCTTGACTGGCCTTGTGGCCCCTCCCAATGACTGGACTAGTAGTACCGCCCTGGCCTTGCCCTTGTACTGGTCTGTACTTGTTTGACTGGTCTTTAGACCCTTGACTCAGAGGTTGGACTAGTAGTGCCGCCCTGAGTTGCCGTTTCTCTCATCAGGAACTGCACCTATGCAGTCTAGGGGGTGTGTCAAACATATATATAGGTTATGTTTGTATAGACTGTATATGTTCGTATCTTAGAGGGTACAACACTTAGGCTTATACCCTTGTACGTGTTTTTCTCGACATTCAATCCTGCGTTAAGATAGTAGTGCCACCCTGGGTTGCTTGTCTCTTGTCAGGCACTGCCCCTTGTCCAGTCTAGGGGGTGTATCAAATATATTTGTCTGTGTTACTATAGCCTAGATAGGGGCATGCCTTAGAGAGTACAGCACATTAGGTCAAAACTATCGTGTACCCTTCTTTCTAATTCATTTTGCTATTCTACAACACAAGGCATTGCTCATGTGAGATAGTGTATCACTAGATTGGCTGTGCAGAAGCCAATGTTAATGATGTAGAATGACCCGTTGGGTTACCCTTTAGAAGATCCTCGGGGAAGGGCCACAGGTGTAGAGCTTGGGGGGCTATGGATGCACTGGCCCGTTATTAACAAGCCTTTTTAAAACCCGCGGCCCAAATTGCGAGGCGCGGCCTTCAAACGCCGTGCGTTTGAAAGTTGCGTTTTCGTGGGTGTATTGGGGGGTAACGAGACTCTCGTCACTCAGGGGTGCCTTCAAGTTCAGTGCGGAAGGTAATTTGGAACACCAGGTGCTCAGCGTTTTTCAACTGTCTGACGACGCGTAAGCCAAGCACTTTCCACAGTCAGTCGAAATGTAATCTCATCCATCAAACTGTGTTAGTAAATCTGACGGTTCACGACCAGCGTTGAATCCCTCGCGATTTTCTAGCGTATTTCGTACAGCCTGAGGGTCAACGTTCATACGCCTTGCGTTTGAACAATTTGGGCCGCGGGTTTTAACTCGGTGGGTAGTGGTTGAATTTCTGACAGATAATTATCTATGTTAATAATAATCGCCACCCAAATCACTGTTGTGAAGTGAACTAGCTAGGAAGGAGAAGGCCGCCATGAAATGACGGCCAAGAGTTAGCTAGGAAGATTTGACAAGAGAAAAGAGAGTTCGATTAGGAAGAGAGAGGGGTACAAGGAGGAGATTGTACCCTCTACAATACGATTCAGTAACAACTACCAAGCAGGGTCTCAGATATCAGACGAAATCGGTCTGATGGTCTAAAAATCAGACCTGTTTTTTCTCATTCATCTGATTTTTTGACGGGCTAAATTAATTCGTCTGATCGTCCAGATACGCCATAAGATTTCGTCTGAAAGTACAGACTAGGTGTAGACTTTCGTCTGAGAATTCAGATAGCGCGGATTTTTTCGTCTGATACATTCCTCCTCTCCCCAACGCCCCTTCCCCAACCCCCCCCCGACCCCCGTCCCCCACAACCAAGGGTTTTTCCGGCTAAGTCCTCCAGACCAGACATATTCCTCCACATAGCCCTCGCAGCAATAAAATTTCGGCGAAGTCCCTGAAACCAGAGACATTCCTCTACACACCACGCACAACCCCTAAAATTCGGCTAAGTCCCCTATTGCGAGATACATTTTGCCACACACCCCTCGAGCCATGTTTTTCTTATGAAGTCCCTCACAGCTAGACCATGAATTTTTGGCTAAAGACCCTCCCACCCCATCCCCCTCCCCCCCCCCCCCCCCCCCGTATACCCGCGATGGCGGTGCGTAAAGTGAGGGTTGCTTGCTTGTGCGTGACACGTCACGTTACGTGCGAGGCCCTGGAACTGTAGGCAGATACAGTACGCAGGCCCTGGTCAATCTCCCCAACCTCGCGCTACAATTTCTATGCAAAACGGTTCAATACGGTTCCGCGTGGTCTGATTCGGGGTCGTGACTGTCAAGGTTCAGGCCCTGTTTTCAAACTTCTCAGGCGCGCCTTTTTGAGACAGGCGCGCATCCATACAGTACGATTTTGACGCGAGCAGATTCGAAGCAGCTGAGAATAGTGGTGATACTGAAACAATTTCTGCTTGACAAGGAATCTTCGAACGTGCTCATAGGCGGGTCCAAGTCTGGGAAGAAGAAGTTCGGAGGAACAGGCTCTCCGCAGGAACAGAAAAATTGAAGTCTAAATTGCAGGTGGAGAAGTTTCTTGCGGCAAAATTTTCGTCTGAATGTTCAGACTCGCGGGAAAAATTCGTCTGAAATCTCAGACTCCTTGAAATTTTTCGTCTGATGGTCAGACGAAACTTTGGAACCCCGTCTGATTTTCAGACAGCCCTAAATCCTAGCTGAAACCCTGCTACCAAGCCTATCAATTATATATAACTTATATAATTTTAACACCCCCTAGGCTTGGTAGTCACACACCCCCACACCCCCTAACCTAGCACCCCCATTCCCAGCAGTCACAACTACTCCAGCAGGGCCGACCCCAAGGCCCTGGAGATGGCGACGGCGGCAGACCCGGCAGCGGCGACAACGACGGCGACGACGGGCGTGCGGCGGCAACAGGCCTGCGGGGACGACAGCGGCGACGGCGACGGCTTCGGCTTACGGTGGCGGGCGTGCAGCGGCCCCCGCCCTTCCGGCGGCGTGTCCATACTCCGCGACAGGGGGGACGACCGGCGAGAGACTGGCGACGGCTGAGACGAAGAGGAGAGGACCGAGGAAAGGGGGAAGGGGCGGGGCTACAGATTCTTCAGCGCGGCGCCATTGCTGGCACCACGCTTACTGGCGGGAGGGCGGGCTGCTTTTCAGCAACGACGCAGGACGTGCGCGTCGGCACCAGGCCGACGACGCACCACGGAACCACAACTGCGCCAGCACAGCGCGGCGTCGTCGCTGCAGCTGCTCATTGACGCTGAGACGGTGGCACTAAAAGAAGCCGCTGTGGCATCTCGGAGAAGCTGCCACGGCGGCAGGAAGTCGGAAGGCAGTGAACGAGAACGCAGCGGAAACCCGGAGGGGAGCAGGCCCAGAAAGGGCCTCCTGCTCTCGATACCATGTTGTGAAGTGAACTAGCTAGGAAGGAGAAGGCCGCCATGAAATGACGGCCAAGAGTTAGCTAGGAAGATTTGACGAGAGAAAAGAGAGTTTGATTAGGAAGAGAGAGGGGTGCAAGGAGGAGATTGTACCCTCTACAATACTGTTCAGTATCAACTACCAAGCCTATCAATTATATATAACTTATATAATTTTAACAATCACATCCTAAGAGTAAGCACCTAATGAACACTCAACATAGCACGGAGCTGTAGAAGTTTGCTAGTAGTGAATTGCCTACATCTGTACAGGGCACCACGGACATAAATGTTCGTTACGAGTTACAGAATGGCTGTAACTCAAAAGAATGAAGGAATAAACCTATGCCTACTGATTGTTGTTGTAGATCCGCTGGGTGTGATAGCTGCCAATCTTAGTGTCCTTCGTGCCTCAAACGCGGACACGGTACTGCCTTCAGCACAGCGAGAGCACGCGGCAGGGGCCCGTCGCCGCAGCAGCCGCAGTTGCCGCAGCAGCAAGTCCCTCCCTCACACCCCCTCCGCGCGATCCCCTCCCGCAATGCGGGCTCTGCACGTTCCCGCCAGCTGCACGGGTACTCCTCCCCGCGCTCTTTCCGCCGTTTCCGCGTGCGCGCATATTTTCTTCCCCTTCTCCTCCACTCTGGGTTGCCCGAATGGGGGACCTCTGATCTCGTCGCGCGGAGCTCGCAGCAGAAGCGGAAGGCGCAGCGGAAGGCGCAGCCAGCGCGCCAATCGCGCAGGGATCAAGAAGATCTGAGTAAAACTGCACCGTCATGCGAACCTTCTGCGAACCCACGCTCGCGGACTCGCCAAATCGTCCGGCCGACCGTCGCCGCCGGCCCGCGGAAGAACTGCGCGCCGATGTCTCCGAGCCTCTGCTGCTTGTCCGCGCCAGCCGATGCCGAGCCTCAGGTTCGGCGCTCCGAACCTGCTGCAGCCGGGACGCGTGATGCGCCATCCCGCGGTCAACCACTTGGTTTGGCGTCTCTCTCGGGCTCCTCACAATGGGATCGGAGCTCCTCTTAACGAGTACCCGCCCCGTTCCTGTTCCACTTACTCCGCTAACCCCCCCGGCGCGCCCAGACAACGGAGACGGGCCCCGCGCGCGCTCTTTGTAGTCCCCGCCTACACCGCCGACGCTACCTGCCGTCAACTTTCCGCCGGGCCACTGGTGGCTTCCGCTGGTGCTGCCGGAGCGCCGAAACCGCCGCCGACTGCTCTCCACCGACTCGTACTCCTCGTCGTCCGCGTCCCACGCGCCGGGATCGCCGGGCGTGCGCGCGAGCGCCACAACGCACGGCGTGCCGAGCTTGCAGCCCAGCATGCGCGAGCGCAGCTGGGGAAACGAGACGGGGGACGTGATATTATGGAGGGCTCGCGCGGGGATGGTTATGGTGGGGGGAGATGAGGGGGATGCGAGTTCGGATAGCGGGCTAGAATCATCGGCGTCGGGAAAAGGCGAGGAGAGAGGCTGCGGAAGGCGGTCACGGGGAGTAGACTGCTGGGCCGCTGCGCAGGGCGCTGCAGTTGCGGCGGTTGTCACGGCGGGTGTCACGGCGGTTGTCACGGCGGGTGATGCGGCGCTGGACCGGGGGGTCAGCGTGAGCGAGTTCTCCGCAAACTGCTTCGCGAGGCGCGCCGAGTTGGGGAAAATCTCGTCGTAGTTGATCTCCCAGATCTCCAGCGGGTGGCGCTCGCCTGGCGCCTCGTCAGCGGAGGCGGGACGCGCAATCACGAGCGGCTTGACCTTGGCGCGAAAGCTGTCGAGCGAGCTCTGGCGCAAGGGAGCGGCGCAACGTAGGCGGAAGTTGGGCGGAGGGGAGACGTCGCGGGTCTGGGGAGCCGAAAGGGAGGCGCTTCGGAAGTTAGGAGCAGCCATGGTGAACTATTGTCAACCTACACACGCTGACGACTACTTTCAGTCGACTGGCTTGAGCGATTTTACGATAGGTGGCAGCTGGGATGGCGGAACTAGAGTTACTAGAGCTTTGCTTGTTTCGTGGCGAGACTGACTGTTTTCCTTGGGGAGGTCGGTTCGGTAGGTGAACGAATGAACAACGGAAGATGTTTTGACCTCGAAAAACGTAGAGGTGCGTGCGCTTTATGCTAACAGGGGGGGAAGGGGGGGCTGTTACTGTATACTTTTGTGAGGCGAGGCGAGTCAGGCGACCGACCACCGTTTTTCTTTGGAGTATGGTTGGTGTCCATCGGGGGAAGCGCCGATTGACGATGCCTGACAGTGGGCAGGTGGAATTTTAGCCAGCTGCAGCACGGCATTCTGTTGCCCAGCAGGGGGGGGGAGAGAACGCGCGTGGCTGAAGCGCCATGTGCGCCTCGTGGATTTCTGTTGGTGATCGTTGCTGTCAGGCAGGCGCGCGGACAGGGTGCGCGACGGGTGCGGGCGACGGGGGAAGTCGGCTGACGGTCATCCACCCCCACCGACGCGGTTGCTCGTTCCCCTCCCCGAGTTTTCTTCCGTTCTCCCATTCGGTCCAAACCCGTCACGTGCACAGCCCGCCTGTGCGAAAGGTATTGCGAATTCAAACAGCCTGCTGGACGGTTCGTTTGACGGTGGATGGGCTCGATTTGAAGCAGGTTGGGGGAAATCGTCTTTCGTCGCTAGTTTTCGCTTCAGCATGACTGGCTGATTGTCGGACGGGTGGAGGTCGTTACTGCGAAGCGGAGGGGGTGGGCCGGTCGGACTGGGAGTTTCGGCTGGGTTCGGTGCGCTGATTTCCTGCGCCGATCGGTGCTGCAGGGCCCAGGGGGCGGTACGAAATCTGCCCCCAGTCTGCCATGCGGGAATAAATGTGCGCCTGCAGTACAGTACATGCGCGAAGGGTGACGAGACGAGACGACGGCGCCCCTGTGCACCTCCCTGAGAAATTGCACGAACGATCTTTTGGGAGCAGTTCACGGGGCACTACGATTGGCTCGCCGTGAGGACGGCTAGCAATTGATCGAGGCGCGCGCATTATCGGCGGCAAGAGAGACTTCACTTTCCTCCCTGCTCCCGGAGGTCGAGCCATTGGTTCTGGGACGTGGAGGCAGGTAAAATGGGGAAAAGTTGACTCATGGTCCACGCGCTTCCTGGTTGGCTGGATGAAGCGTGCGACGTTGCCAGCTGTGTGGGAGCTTGCAGCCACAAATGACACTGTGGGCTCCGTACCGCACCGCAAAGCCGAGCACCGTGATAGCGATTCGCTGCGATACATGCGGCTCGCTCTGACCAATCGAAACCAGAAATTGCTTGATCTTGCCTGCGGTTCCGCTACGAATCTGTGTCTGAAGAGCTACCTGCGCTTCGCGCTTCTAGGCAAACGTTACTGCTAGCGAAGCCGGTTTTCCGCTGACGATAATTCCCCGACTCAGGACCAAATGGACTTCGTTGATACATCACTCTGCCAATCACAAAATGGCTCCAGGCCAAGCGAAGTGCTCTCGAACAATTCTTGTAAGCTTCGTCACACACTCTTTACCAACATGTAACAAAGCCCCTATAAGAGCGTGTCCAAATTGCAATTCTGCAGTTTCTGTCATCCACTGAAATCTGTTGGATGACAGAACGGATGACAAATATCCCTTTGGACACGCCCTAGTTTCGGGATGTAATCGAGTAGTGCAATAAAGGGTGTGACAAACACGCGACGACACAAGCACAGGCTAGCGGAGGACCTCGATGCCGAGCCACGAAACCCACACAACATAATTTGGACACCTTATATTTCAGAAATATTGGTTGTTGCTCCATTTGTCGTAAGAGCGAAGCTCGGCAGCTATGTTTTTGTTTTCGGGCCGAGTGTTATGAATGGAACTGCCGAGTAAAGCGGAGGGCAATGACGAAACTGAGAACGACTGAATGGCAGTACAATGAAAGACAACACAATATATAGAAACCTAGGGTGATCCTGGACGTAGGTTCGGAAGGTTCGGGAAAGTTCTCGAAGGGCCTCGATGTGTCGAAGCGAAGTCCGGAAAGGCCAAGGACGCTCGAACTGAAAGGTCTGGAACCCTATCGCTGGTTCGGGACTATTCGAATCGTACGCCCTGTAGCAAGCCTCAGTAAGGAATTACTAATTCCTTACACTCTCCCCTCTTCTAGATAAGCACACAAATAAACAAAACTACACACACTCTAACTGAATCTCATTGTAATGAAGACACTACTGTTGTGAATCTCGAGCTTCTTCAAGGAAACTCCATCCAACGGTCGAAACGTGTCGAAACTATCGTAATCGATCGTAGCCGTCGAATCTTGGTCGAATTACTTACCCAGTTAACCAAACGGGCAGTAGGGAAACTACCGCACCACAGCTTCCTTGTCTTCAGCGAGTCCTTCGCCGAGAATTACAAACCCCGTCATCGTGTACTGTATCCGCACAGTAACACTACGTTATTCACACTGCTGCAAGTTGGCGAGCCGAATCTTCTGCATAGCGCCAAACTTGTCCGTAGTTCCACATTTGTAGATAGCTCCTCGATTAATTCCACGTGAATCATGACACTCGCATAAACACGCGTCCGTATTTCGCAAAGTTAACGAACTCCAGCTATTCGTCAAATGTGAGGTCATTCGCGACACTTGCGACAACACGCGTCCGCGTCTCACGAAAGTCAGCAAATTCCATCAGCACATGGACGAAAGCACAATCAGTCCAGTAAACGTAGTCGATGTCGTCTCAGACGGTCAATGTAAACACGCCTTCATCTTTCGCAAATACCTACGAATTTCCCGAAAGGCCAACTCGAATCTGTCCGTCGATTCAGTCTGTCAAACAGCTTCTGTCCGTCGATGCTCATGCAACGGATGCCAATTGTCGAGGGGAAACAAATTTGTTGCGCAGCTACTCCTCCCCCCCCCCCAATGAAAAGAAAATCTTCTGTCGTCTATGCCGAAAATACCCTGTTTCAAATTTCTTCAGACCCAAAAAAATGAAGTATATTCAATCTCTGCTCGTCGGGACCAGTCTCAGCACGACCCTATAACGCAGGGCACCTGCGCCACGTAGACTCTGGCTCTGTCCGACGCTGTATAATTCTGCTCCGCAGAATGCCGTCGATCTGCTTCGTATTGTAAATTCCGAAACTCCCCCTAACCGGTTTGCCGTGCAAACGTTCACCTACCGTGCGGCTACGGCAGGTACCCCAGAAAAACTCGGGTATAGTTCTCAACTACGAAAAGCGCATATTCTGCAGTTTCACCGACTAACCATGTTGGTATTCAAACCATCGCACAGCTCGGTAGGTACCCGTAACCCCAGCTACCGCTCCAGCCAAAAACTTGAAGAATTCCCACCTGGAAAATACCTGACGTTTTAGCGACGCGCCGACGTTCACCCATAATTGCGCCTGTCCAGGTAAATCCCCGAATAAGTCCTTGCAGCAGAATCTTCGATTATAGCCCCGCAACTCAGGAATAATACTTGAAGACTCCCGCGTGACTCCATGTTTTCTGTGACGGCAATACGCTTCTCCCATTGCAACAGTAACCCTTGTCTTCCCGAAACTCCATTTGATGAATGCACTCCAGAGAAGAGGTGAATCCGCCGTGTGCCCGTACTCAGGTAAGCGCAAACGTTATCGTAGTTGGGCGAATTAATCAGTCTAATTCGCGGGCAACCGCTTTGCAACTTACGTGAGGGATTCTCCTTCCCCTCCCTGGAAAAATCGTCTCTGCAAAAAATCTGCTCCAAACTGCTGCAAATTTCTTCAACTGCTGCTTCCCCAATAAAACCCCCGTAGGCCGCTGTTCACCCAGCGCCCACGTTCGTCATTCTCCCAACACTACCACGCACGTTCTGTCGAAAAGCTCGCAACTCAGTCGAAATCAGCGACACATCCTCGTCGTTCGTTTTGGACTCGAGCCCCGCGTACTGTCCGATCGTCGTCGCAAATTTCCTTCGCTTTTTTCGTTAACCTGCTTCACGCGCCTCCACTGTACAGCGTCCAATTTTCACAAATCGTTCGCCTGTCGTGTAGCGCCGAAAATATTTCTTCCCTGATCCACCAGCATAGGGTGATCCGCTGGCTCACCACCCTTATTCGGCCAGAACCGTCGGAGTAGTCTTAAACCCGAACTGGTACCTGTTGGTGGTGCTGAAAATCGGGCGACCCAGCCAAGTCAGTCGGGGGATCCGTTTGCCGCTGACTTCGTAAAATTTTCCTGGCTGTTCCCAGTCGTTCTCCTTCTCTGCTTCAGCTCTTCGTCGTTGACTTTTAGTAGTGACCCGGTGATGACACTTAAACTCGACTCGAGGGTAGTTGCTGGTCGTCCTCCGTAGATCGTGGAGTGTAATTTCTGACCACGAAAATGGCTTCCACTACAGGAATCCAGACTCGGCGGGCAGGTTATGCGAATCAATTCCGAGGTCAGTACTCCTCGGAACTCCTCCGTGCCTGAGCCCCACGTTTGCTGTCGTGCAATCCTTGGTCGTGTTGAAAACTCCTACGCCACGTTGCTGAATAGTATCCGAAGTCCCTGCGTGTCGCCTGCCAGAAACGCTGAGCCCTTTGACGTCAGCTACACTTCACCATGCAGTCAGGTCTGCAACACGCGCTCCTGAAGAAATCCTCTTCGCCTGGGAATATCTGCGAGCTTGTCGTCTCGTGATGAGCTCCTCGCTCCGTTCGGACACCAATCCGAATCGTCGTTGCTGCTTGCCGAAAATTCCGAAACTACAACCAAAACTCCTTTAACGATATGCGAAATGAACAGCATACCGGAAACACTCTTCAAAATCTTCGCCATGTCAGGACGGACAAAACCGCCCTCGAGGGGATGGCTCTCCCTCCCCCAAAAAAATGTTATGCCCTCGGAAGCCCAGCGGGTGAGGAAAGTGGCTTTGGATACCAAGTGTTATGAATGGAACTGCCGAGGAGCGCAGAGGGCAATGGCGAAACTGTGAACGAGTGAATGACAATAAAATGAAAGACAACACAATATATAGAAATCTAGGGTGATCCTGGACGTAGGATCGGAAGGTTCGGGAAAGTTCTCGAAGGGCCTCGATGTGTCGAAGCGAGGTCCGGAAAGGCCCAGGAGGCTCGAACTGAAAGGTCTGGAACCCTATCGCTGGTTCGGGACTGTTCGAGTCGTACGCCCTGTAGCAAGCCTCAGTAAGGAATTACAAATTCCTTACACCGAGCCTGGACTTCCGAAGTTCAGAGTGTACATGTTGTAACATGGTCCCGCTACGAAAAAAGAAAATACTCACACCTCCCCCCTCCTATAGGAGACTAGCAACATCTTGGGCACTTCGGCGGCATAAATAGGTCGGTACGACTGCATGGTTGCTGAGCAATACTTCTGGGACCCAGAGATGGTCTTCACTTGATCATTCAACCCATCGAACCAGAAAGTCCAAGCACCATTGACCTTGGTCGAGTCGAACTCGGTGGGCAAAAATCTGTCGTGGCTCGACGATGGGTTCGGGAATCGGCCTGACTGTTACGTAGCAGCTACGTAGCAACTATGAATACGTTGACGATGGCGAGTAGCTCCTTGTCGTAAAAAAATGTAGTTTTGCTCATAGCCTTGCAACTTTCGTAAGTCATAGGTGATTGGTTGAAGGCATCCATGAAAACGTGTAACGGTACAGCTCCTACAACGATATTGTTGGCGTCGGTAATGGGTTCAAAGAGTCGGTTTCGGCTGGCGATGTGCCGGACGGGTGGCGTCATACGATGTTTTCAGTTGGTCAAACGCAGCTTGCTGCCTCCTCCCCCACTCATAATAGTTCCCTTTTACAACAAGTTAGTAAGCGGGACGGTTGACTCCACCATAGTGGGGATAAAGCGACGGACATAGTTGATGAAGCTCAAAGAATTTTGCAGTTCCTTCACGTTGGTCGGTGGTTCCTAGTTGTGAATGGGAGCAATGTTCTTCGGGTCGATTTTAATGTCATCGTTGAAAATGACGCACCAAAAAAACTCCAAATCGTGTTACAAGAACTCGCACTTACACGTAGGTCCTTTGGTGATGAGTCGGTGTTGATCGTAGAGAGAGAGAGAGAGAGAAAGAGAGAGAGAGAGAGAGAGAGAGAGAGAAGGAGAGAGAGAGAGAGAGAGAGAGAGAGAGAGAGAGAGAGAGAGAGAGAGAGAGAGAGAGCGAGAGAGAGAGAGAGAGAGAGAGAGAGAGAGAGAGAGAGAGAGAGAGAGAGAGAGAGAGAGAAATGCTTCTAGTTCCTTCAAATGCTGCCTCCGGGTAGTACTATATACGAGAATACTGTTCAAGTATACCATAACACACATATCCAACAGTTGTCGGAAATATTCGTTCATGGTCATTTGAAAGGTCAGGGGTGCATTCGTCAGACCAAAACAATGTATTTTAACAACCACCTTCGTCGACTCGGCTTTGGTGGTAACCTCATCGCAAATCGATCTTCGAGAATACGCGAGCTTCCACAAAGTTGGTCGATGAGGGCACGGTAGCTGATGCACATGCAAAGACCTCTGCCCATTTTGGTTGTGAAGAGAATGGGGTGAGCAAAGGGTAACGTAGATGGGTTGATGATTTTTTTCTTCAACAGATATCCAACTAATTACGAAACTCCTCAAGCCTTTGCGGACCCAGCCGCCACTGTGTACGTACTAGTGGTTGTGCGCCGGGTTCCAATTCAATCTTGATACATGTAAAACTCGCTCACAAATTGCTAGTGGCGTGCTGTGGAATAATCGGTTGTCGTTTTTTGGCAGACAGCACTCCATCGGCAGTCGCAGCTTCTTCGCCTTAGTGATGTTAAAGCCCACGTATCAAATTGCAAGCCGCGGTTCTCAAACGCACTGCGCTTAAAATGGTTCAGTTGGTTGCACCAGCAGCAACGCCCGTAGGTTCGGCGGTCTTACGGTGCTTTCAAGCCACTGATGGAGGGGTACTAGCTATGGCCTAAGAAATAATTTGCCTTATGAAAATTCACCTGCGGGAATCCACGGATCGCGTCCTACGACTCTGCAACGATTTGAATCTCCAAAAACGTCGCCGACCATTGCATGCAGATTTCCCATCGGACACCCTTTCCCAGCCACATGATGTATCTACTGCACTTCTCGGACTCATGCAGATCGTCGAAGATGGCAAGAAATGACGTCGTGCATTCTTGTACAGATCCCACCGCCATCCATTAAGCTTCGCTTGTATGGTCTCACATGCGGAGACTGTAAAATTATATATATATATATATATATATATATATATATATATATATATATATATATATATATATATATATATATATATATATATATATATATATATATATATATATATATATATATATATATATATATATATATATGTGAAGGCTTGGTAGGTTATCAAACTCTATTGTAGAGGGTACAATCCCCTCCTTGTATCCCTCTCTCTTTCTAGTCTAGCCTCTTTTTCTCGTCAAACTTTCCCCTCCTAGCTCCTAGCTCCTAAAACCTCACGCCATATTCATGGCCGCCCTTCATTCTTAGCTACGTTAGCCTTCTAACAGAGACATGCTCGACCCGTTGGTGAAGCAGTGCACCCCATTGCTGCCACGTGATCTCCGCTGTTCCAAACAACGATACTGCTTGAATTATTGAAGACTGGTGTCCCATGTCCATCTCCTGTTGTTGGTCTGTCGGAGCCCCTCGCGATGTCACGTGTTGGCGCCACGAACTTAATGTCAGGCCCCGTACTAGAGACATTGTCAACTTGACGCGTGTCTCATTATCATTGATGTTTGCCGTGTTGAAGAACAGTTCCATGGCAAATAACCACCCATTCACCGCGTGTCTCATTATCATTGATGTTTATTGATGGGGTTGAACGGCAGGGGCATTGAAGTCTTGACCTTTATGGCTCGCTCGTGCTGTTGTCATGTGTCTCCGAAATCGTCAGGGGGTTCACTGCGCTCGCACGGTCATCGCCGGTTGTAACAGGCATCTTCTGGCGCGTCGTCCCGTGCGCATGGGGAAGTGAGGCATTCTCTTCCTTAAGCATGGCAATCTCCGTAGACATTGCCTCCACCTTCGTGAATAGCTCCACAAATTTTGTCGTCAGCACCAAAGTTCTCGCCGCTCTTATCAGCAACTCAACGATTCATTCGGGCGTCATGTTTTAAGACTATGGCGAGGAGGGCTATTAACCATAAAACACTCTACGTAGAGGACGTCACTAAGGACACTAAGAGCGTGTTCCTACGAGCCTCTTCCCAGGCAACCTCTTCCCAGACTTGCGCATGACCTTAGAGCGTGTTCTCAGGATCACTTTTCGGAATACTCCCATTTCATATTTGCGTTTCACCGCTCTCAACCACATAAAACCAGCTGGCGTCGAAAATTAACTGTGCAGATTCGCGCGCGTCTGAAAATCTGCTCGTAAAAAAAAGGATTGAGAAAGCTCGCTACTTGTAGTGCAAATGGCATCGTTCTCATTCCACTGGCATCAAGTACAAAGAGTTCCCAATATATTCATCTATTAGAATAAACTTTATAAACTATCTACACTGGGATATGTCTATGCCGAGGATGATCCACCGAAGCGGTGCATATTGAAGAGAGTAGACGAAGCGGGTTGGGTGGGCGGGAATTGAACTTGAGCTGGGAAAAATGAAAAACGTGGGTGGAGGAAGAATGACCTCCAACCCCATTATATGGTTGGAGAAGGGCGAATAGCGCGCTTCAACGATGCCTTAGATTGCGTTACAAGCAGCTTCGCATTCACAATACACAATTTTGAAAGTGTGAACACTTTAAAATTTTATATTTTTAAAACACGCCCCTGAATCTCGGGAAGGCGATTCTCACTTCGCACTTCGCGGAATCTCACTGAAGCATTTCGCGTCAAAATTTGCGACACTGTAGCACGCGAGTCTGGGAAGAGGTTGCTTGGGAAGAGGCTGGTAGGAACACGCTCTAAGAGCACCCGGGCACCGTCAGAGGCATGGAGCGCGCACGCTTTAGTCGGCGGGACTTAAGAAGTCCAAGCGTGCGACCGTAGGACAGCTCCTACCTCCTGATGTGTCTGGTCGCTCCACAAGCCTACTCCCTAATTTTTTTAGTGGGCGGGAATGTAGATCTGATACCAAGTGTTATGAATGAATCCAGGATGCAATCGAGTAATGCGATGAAGGGAGTGTGACTAACAAGTGACGATACAAATGAAGTACATGCTATTTATAAACACATCAAGACTAGCGAAGGAAGGACCTCGATGTTGGGCCACGAAACCCACTCGTGGTGGTTTGGGCATCTCAGGTTTTGGGAGTGTCGGGTGTTTCTCCATGTGCTGGTTTGGGGTTGCGAGCGAAGCTCAGAACCTACCGGTAGGCTTTTTGGCCGAGCCTGAACTTCCAAGGTTCAGGGTGTACGCAGTGTAGGAAAGAGAATTTCCTTGTGGTATTGGCCACCAATTGCATCAAGAGTGTCATAGATTTCAAGAACAGCACATGATAGGAATACGAACTAAAAAATAGCAAGAAAAGTAAGGTGCAAGTAAAAATCATGTATCTGAAAGAACCTCCAAGACTGATACCCTGCTGCTAACCTACTCCAAGACCCTCACCGAATGCTCATCGCACTGGTGCTGTTTTGGAACGCCAGTCTTTCAATCATATCTATTTCTGCATCTAGATTTCCAACTCTCTGTTCCTCCACCTCCTCATCGATCCTAGCCGCCATCCTAGGTGGCGCCTCCCCCAGGTATTCCTTCTTGAGCGCTGAGAGCTCAGATACCACCTGCACCATGTCGGGACGAGACACGGTCGGCATGGCAGTGCTGCGCAGCGCCAGCTGCGCCATCCGCAGAATCAAATCCGCAGGAGCGTCCAACCGGGGGTCCTTGAGTTCGTCTGTTCTGCCTGCTGCAACTAAGGACTCCGCCTGGATAGGAGAAGAGGGGGGAGGGGGGGAGGGGAGGGGGGGTGGGGGGGTGTTGTGAGGGATCGGGAGCAGCGACTTAGACTGTGCCTGCAGCAAGGACTCGGACTTGGTTGGAGAGGGGAGGAGATTGGAGGGGAGGGAGGTCATGAGTGCAGCAACTGACGCTCTGCCTGCAGCAATCAAGTTCTAGAGAAGGAAAGACCCAGCAGTCCCACCCCAAGTCCCCACCCTCTCTACTCACCCACTCCTGGCGCTGAAAGGCCAGACACAGCATTCCCACCCCAAGTCCCCACCCTCTCTACTCACCCACTTCCTGGCGCTGAAAGGACAGACACAGCAGTCCCACCCCAATTCCCCACCTTTCCAACTCGCCCATTTCCGAACATTTAAGTTGTCGCCGTTCTCGTCCGCCTTGAGTGCCTTGAAGCCTTGAATGCATTGCAGCCAGATAGACTTTCTTAGTCGACCCCCACGGCCATCACACGAGCCCATCCACACGCAAGCCCGCTCAACTCACCCATTTCCTGACGCCGAACGCGTCCCCGTTCTCGTCCACCTTGAGTGCCTTGCAGTGGGGTATACTTTTTTATCGACTCCCAAGACCACCACATGCGCCCATCCACACGCAAGCCCGCTCAACTCACCCATTTCCTGACGTTGAACGTGTCGCCGTTCTCGTCCGCCTTGAGCGCCTTGCGACCCGACAGCGTGGTCAGAATGAGGATTCCGAAGCTGGGGAAGGGGGAGGAGGGTGTGGGGGAGGGAGGGGGGGTTGGATGGGATTGGAATGGGGGTGCTTTGAGCGCCTTGAGTCCCTTGCGGCCGGACATGGTGGTCAGAATGAGGACTCCAAAGCTGGGGAAGGGGGGAGGGGGTTGGGGAAGGGGGGGGGATGGGAGTGGAAGGGGGGTATTTTGAGCGCCTTGAGTGCCTTGCGGCCCGACAGGGCGGTTAGAATGAGGACTCCAAAGCTGGGGAAGGGGGAGGGGGGTGTTTTGGTGGGGGAAGGGGGCGGGGAGGAGGGGGGTTGGATGGGAGTGGAGGGGGGGTGCTTTGAGCGCCTTGAGTGCCTTGTGGCTGGACAGGGTGGTCAGAATGAGGACTCCAAAGCTGGGGAAGGGGGGAGGGGGGGGTGGGGTTGGTTGGGGAAACGAAGGCAGTGGATGGTGGTTAATAGTGTAAGGGGAGTTATTTGAATGCCTTGTGGCCGGATAGCATGATTGGACTGAGAATGCCAAAGCTGCGAGGAGAGGGGGGGTGGTGAGGGGGAAGTGGATGGTGGTGAGGGGGAAGTGGATGGTGGTGGAGAATTCAACAAGGGTGCGCTGAGCGTTGAGTGCCCTGTGGCCGGATGGGGTGGTCGGAAAGAGAATGCGAGCGCTGGGGCTGGGGGAATCGGGGGGAGAAAGGGGGGGTTGGAGACGAGGGGCAGCGAATGGGGGCAATACGCAAGGGGAGGCTTCGTTCTTGGTAAATGACAGACACAGTGCAAGAGAAAGGCTTTGAGAGGCTTTAAGAGGAATTAAAAATAAGGCTTTGAGAGAAGGGCTTTAAGAGAAAGGCTTTCAGAGGAAGGGTCCAAGGCTGCGGAATATGATGGTACCAAGGCAGGGGAGTGGTGAGTGGCCCAGTGTGCCCATGCCCTCATGCCATCTAGACGACAATGCTTGCAGAGGTGTGTGGCACTCTAGTTTTGAGACGTCTCAAAATTAGGTTATCCATCACTATACCCTCATGCCATCTGGATGCAAGTTCTTGTAGTGGTGCCCACGTTGGCACTCTTCACCCCCAGTAAGAGGGGGAGCCCACGTTGTGCCCGTGTGAGCCATACTCCGATGCCCCCCGATACGAGTCCTGCAGGTCATTCCCACAGGGTTGCACCGCTCTTTACCACTCTGTACCGCTCTCTAACTGAACACGTCTGCCATGGGAGTGGCCTTTTGAGACTTGAAATAAGCCGGGTCCACATAGCCCAGTGTGCCCATGATGCGAATGTCTCCCTGGAGGTTTGCACCTCTTAACCGCCTTTTACTGCGCTGTACCGCTCTGTACCTGAACACATCAGCCATGGGAGTGGCCTTCTGCGACTTGAAATATGCGGGGTCCACGTAGCCCGGTGTGCCCATGATGCGAGTATCCCCCACGGTGGTGCCCTCGTTCTGCCTCAGCAGGCCAAAGTCCGCCACCTTGGCCTGACGGTGTAAGGGAGGGAGTGAGACGGAGAGGGGAAGGTGCGGAGGGGAAGGGCAGGGTTGAGCCAAGGACCACAATGATGCGAGTATCCCGCACGGTGGTGCCCTCGTTCTGCCTCAGGAGGCCAAAGTCCGCCACCTTGGCCTGGGTGTCGTTGCAAGGGGAGTGGGGGAGTGGAGGGGGGAGGGGGGAAGGCAAAACAGAAAGGGGAGGGTTGAGCATCTGACAGCAGTGATCCGTGTCTCCCAGTGTCGTTCGCTCTTTCGGCCTCAGCGGCCCAAAGTCCGCCACCTTGGCCTGACTTTGTTGGGAGAAGAGTGGGGGGGTGGTGGGAGGAACGGGGGACGGCTGGACGCATCAAAGGGCAGCACAGAGCTGAGAGACCCCATGATCCCATGGACGCAACAGAGGACAGCATTAAGCCGAGGGGCCCCATGATCCGACCGAATCTCGCACAGTGGTGCGCGCCCTCCCACAGCTCGGCCTATGTGTGAAGGCTGAGGAGTGTATTTTGGAGGCGCCTTAAAACGAGAATGTCCCTCACTGGAGTCCTCCCGCCCACAGTGGAGCCCGCCCTCTGTGGTGCCCTCCCTGAGTGGTGCGTGCCCTCCCACAACTCAGCCTAAGAAGGCCGAGGAAGCCAATGATTCGGCTCACCACCATCGTCCTGTCGAGTACGGAAAGGACGGGCTCAAAGCAGGGGCTGACCTGCATCTTGCTGTCGAGGAGAATGTTGGCGGGCTTGATGTCGCGGTGCACCATGCCAAAGCCATGCAGGTACTCGATGCCGTGCGCCGCCCCAATGAGCACGATAAGGCGCTGAGCCATCGAGAGAGGTTGTTGCACGCCCTCTCCAACCCAGCGCTCCAGGTCCCCATTGGCCATGAACTCGTACACCACTATCTGCTCCATGGCCATCTCGCCCCTGCCCTGTGCTGCCGGATTCATGTCAACGCAGTAGCCCAGCAGGCGCACCAGGTGCGGGTGGTGCTTCGTTGCCATCGCTACCACCTGCGGATGGAGGAAAGGGGAGTGTAAGGGAGAAAGGGGTTCATATTGGGGCGCCTCAGTGAAGGCTTTGCCGCCCACTGCACATTGGTGTAGTACGGTCTGACGCTCGGGTACACATCACCCGAGGCATGAGGAGTGCCTCCCTTGAATAGTAACTTGAGTAGTGAATGAATTCCCCTCGCAAAAAGTCCTTGGTAAGAACTCGAGCTTGCTTCACAGCGCACAACACACTGGGATAGTATGGTCTCATGCCCCGGCCCCGTGCACGTCACCCTGGCGTGATGACAGCCGGCCATAGACAATGTGCGCAAGGCAAGGGGTGTGGTAAGTACCTCCCGTTGGAAGTCCTTGGTCAGCACTCGAGCCCGCTTCACCGCCCACAGCACGTTAGGATCGTAGGGATTCACGCCCCGGTACACGTCACCAAAGCTGCCGCTGCCAATGCGGTTGCTCTCCGCCCAGTCAGCGGTGGCCCGTGCCAGGTCAGCAAGGGCGAAGCGCTGGCAGACAGGTGGCGCTGTTTGGAAGCCCTCTTCCTGCTGCTGCTGTGCCACGTTGGCTTGCTGATGTGGCTGCTGCTGGTACATGCCACCTGGAGGGGCGTGAGAAGGCGTGATGTGGCAGGGTGGTAGGGGATGGGTTTAAAACGTAAAAATTTATTGAGTCAGCTCGAATGTCACAAGTTGGATTGCAGGATGGCACGTCTAGGGGACGGCAAAGTGGAATGCACAGGGATGGGAATGGCACGGTGTGAAAATGGATGGAAGGAGGCGACTGGCAGTCGCCATGCCTCATGGGCTTACCATTGTGGGTGATGGGTGATGGGTGATGGGTGATGGGTGACGGGTGATGGGGGATGGGTGATGGCCGATGGGTGATGGGTGCGTTATGGGTGGTGGGTGATGGGTCATGCTTGGTGGGTGACGGGTGATGGGTAGGTGATGGTTGATGGGTGATGGTTGGGTGATGGGTGGTGGGTGATGGGTGGATGATGGTTGATGGGCGATGGGTGACGGGTGATGGGTCATGGGTCATGAGTGACGGGTCAATTGTGGGATAGTAAGCATGCACTCACTTCCCATGTACATGGGGTGAACGGCCTGCCCAGATCCCATCCCCGCCTGAGGCGCTGCTGCCGCCCCATATGCCCCCCCTGCTGCTGCTCCCACTCCTGCTGCCCCATACGCCCCTGCTGCTGCCCCATATGCTCCTCCCGACCCTCCTCCCCCTCCTGAGCCCCCTCCCCCGTACCCCCCTGCTACTGGGGCAGCCATGCCATTCCCTCCGCTCCCCCCTCCCCCTCCGCTCCCCCCTCCGCTTCCCCCACCCCCATAGTACGGGTTCGCGTACCCCTTATTCGCCTCAGGATCAGCCCCTGCTGCTGCTGCTGCTGCTGCTGCACCAGTGGTACCATACGTCTGCCCGGCCACACTGGCTCTGTTCTTGTGCCTGAACCAGAGGAAGAGACCGCCCCCCACGAGCAGCACCAGTAGCAGCAGCACCCCCACCACGATGCCTACGACAGCACCCGTGGAGAGACCCTTTGAGGAGGAGGAAGAGGAGGAGTTGGTGTAGGGAGAGGGGGAGGGAGAGGAGTAGTAAGAGGGGGAGTAGTAGGAGGGGGAAGAGTAGGAGGGAGAGGAGCTAGAAGCTGGTGGGTGGGGTGGGGGGGGGGTGGGGGGGGGGATGGAACGGGAAGGCTGAGGACAAAGGGAGAAACGAAGAAGGGGGAAGGGAATGGACTCCATTCTGGAGGGTTTGGAGGAGGCAGAAACTAGGCTGGAGAGCCCAGAGGACAAAGCGAGTGGGGTAGCCATGGGGGCAGTGAGAGAGGACGAAAGGGCGGGCGAATCAGTGGGGCGAGTTCCCCCCAGGACGGGCGTTCCGGATATCGTAAAAACTCGTGAAACGCACTGATTGCACATCCAAGAACACTGAAAGGAACTTACAAACATACTTCGGCCCCGCGATTGTTAAGCGGGCCACGTCGATCGAAGTGGTGATAGCTATACCCGCTATAGCACAGAGCACGTCTAGCAGTCCCGGTTACATGGACTTACACACGCACGACTGCCCAGATATGGTTATGCCGGCCACGTCGATCGAAGTGGTGATGGCCATGTACCCGCTATAGCACGAGCACGTCCACGTGAAGCTGCCGTCCCAGTTGCACGTGCCGTACGTGCACGGGCTATCCGTGCAAGGGTCGTAGGCTGGGACGCGGGGGTAACGGAGATAAGGAGATAAGGAGATAAGGAGATAAGGAGATAAGGGGTACCGGGAACGAGATAAGGAGTCAGCAGGCAATATGATCATGGAGATAACGTCCGACAGCTTGCGCGCTTTCCCCTTTTCTGGCTGGAAATTGGGATGGAAAACAAGTGGAATATGCTCAGCAGGCACAAATCACGCATAGTTTCTTTTAGGTGGGAAGAATTACACTGTGCGATAAAAGGCTCACAGCTCGAAGCTGAACACTGTCATCCGCTGCGAGTCGCAGGCTGCGACCTTGAGGTTCGTTGTTCCGGTATAAGGATGGTTTATGATGAGGAATTTCTGTGAAATTTGACCCGATGAGAAACCATACGCTGCATTGGCCAACTGTAGGTGCTATGTAATACCTTGTGCGGAGACGGCCGTTATTCGCGCCGTAAAAACAGCTGTTGCAAGCAGAACCGTTGTTACAAGACCCAGGTTACGCTCGCGTAGCAACAGCGCAACCGCCATATGTGCCAAAACCGAGTTCCAAAACGAATAGGCGATGCCGGGTTACCCGTTTCTCGAAAGTAAGCGTTTCAACTGCCTCGACCTTTTGTGCTAACTGTCAATTACTTCCCCTGACAGAGGGGAAAAACACGACGTCTGCACAGTCTTGTGTCGTCGCCTTTCACAGTTTAAAAGCGAAAGCAACCGCACGCCAGGATAGAACGGGTTTCCTAAATCGACGAAGTCTTAGTGAGAATTGAGCTTCGCCGTGTTGCGAGATGGACGTGCTTGACGGGACAGGACACTAACTACGCAAAGCTAAACCAAACCAGGGAAATTTTGAAGACGGAGGGGGACAGGAAGGCAAAGAGGTTTGTGCGACATTCCTAAGGGAACGACGCGCCACAGGAAGCAGGCCCGCCGACCAATGGCAACCGAGATGCATAACGAACCCCAATGCACGGGAAGGTGTTGGATTTGGATGTGCCACTGCAGCCTGCAACTGTTCAAACTAGAGGTTCCCTTATTCCCCTGGCAATCCTAGAGTTACCCATATTTCAATGGGTCTGAGCCCTGTTTTCTTATAATTGCGCTCCGCCCTTGGCAGATCTGCAGACCCCCCTAGTTATAAAACAGGATGTGTCAATGAATAATGTGAGAAACCATGGTCGCTATTGCAATAGGAAAAAATCTTTCTGATGTGGTCGGTGTATTTTCCCCATTTCTATGTGAGCAATTCCCATACGGTATCGGACATTGCGGCTCGCTGAGGAAATGTCAATTTCGTGGAGGTTCTGTTGCGAGCCAGGGGAATATCTCCGCTACAAGAGTGTTGTCTAGGTGAAGCTTTCTCGTATTGTATGTGTGGCGAGCTAGACAACACATCCTCTACAATAGACTTGGGTACCTTGTAAAACTTTCTCTGCTTGTTGTGATGTGAGGTAATTGAGGATTTCGAGTTGGGGCTCGCGTTCTATACGTGGACATTGCTTTTGCATTTGTGAAGTCGCATTCTCTAGCGAGTTCTAGGCGAGCCTCTTAGGGAAATATTCTCTGTTGGGACACTCGGGAAATCGCTGCCGTCAATCTGACGTTTGCTCCTGCGCCCCACAAAAATTTCAGGGCTCATCACCGACAAGTCTTGCACTTGCTTTTGGCAACTTGCTCAGCCGACGGCGGAAACATTTTCAATTCGAACCGCTTGGGCGACGGGTTCAATCAATCACATCGCAGGCGCGAATTCTCCTGTTGGTCGTTGAATCATCGTTGCGATGTCGCATGCCACCAGCAGCTCAACAACAACCCCCTCTGCGATTTCGCCGTTATCCACAACATTTCAACATGACAAACGGACTGGACCGGATCTCACGAGTTGGTGAGGACTTCCTTCCAACGGCCTCCCTTGAAATGCAAGTTTGCTGGTCGAGTCGTGTCTAATGCGGCCTTTTCTCTCGCCCAACGGGCATTTCTTCCCACCACCCGACATTTCGGCTGCCCCCTCCCGTGAATGTCCACCAACCAGAACCAGCCAAACTAACTTCCCCCAGAAAGCTCCTTTGCTTCAACGTGCGATACCGCCTCCCCGTTCCCCTGCTTTTTCTCGCCGTCATCTCATCATCGCCGCCTTGAGTCCGCATCTCGTCTCATCATCTCGTGTTTGCGCCCCTATCTCCGTGAGTGCTACGAGGCTCTCCCGTCACGGGCCCAACCGGGCGACCATCGAACAACCTCAAACCCTCCTGTGTCCCTGTTCCCACAGATTCCAGGCTCCAGCTCCATTTCGTGATAGCTTTAGTCCGACATTTGCGATAGCTTGCAAATCAGCGCTTCCCACCATTGTCCCATCCGATCGCCAGCAGCCGCACGCCGCGATAACATTCTCCCTGCGACACGTCGAGCGAAAAGCCCTTTTTGTTTCGTTTCAAAAGCAAGCTCTTTCCCAGCAGCAGCTTGTCATTTCCGAACCTGAACGACCACGACCGTCAACTGTCGCTCAGCAGGGCCCCTCACATTCCGAGTCCAGCTCTCATCGCGCGGCCTCCTCGTATCGCAGCCATGACTCGACTACTACCAGTACTACTCCTCCTCGCCGCCCTCTCAGGTCCGTGCCTGCTTGAGCCACCTCCAAAAGTCACCTCGTTTTGAGCCGACTCACCAGCCACGACTCGACTACTACTACCCGCATTACTCCTCCTCGCCGCTCTCACAGGTCCGTGCCTACTTGAGCCAACTCAAAAGTCACCTCGTTTTGAGCCGACTCAATGGCCACGCCTCGACTGCTACCCGTGCTACTCCTCCTCGCTGCTCTCTCGGGTCCGTGCCCAGTCGTGGATCCCCTTCCCGAGGGGGACCGCCACGCGAAGGGCCTTCATGCGTCTCACGCGCGCAACATCCTGCTTCTGAGTCGACTCTAAAGCGCGCCTTACCATCTCCCCCACGCCGCTGCCCGACCTTCCGCCTTCGCCGCCGCTCCCCGCGCTTCGTTGGTTGACCAGAAAGCCGCCAGCTCTCGTCGCGTATTGAGATCGCTTCCCCTGTCCGTCCCCAACCCCTTTCCCTTTCCCTTCCCCCAACGTCTCCCCGTAACACTTCCCCCTATTCGCCCGCATGTCTCCCCACTGCCCTATTCCACCCTCCTCCGCGTATCCCTGGCGTCCACGCCAGTCGGGGTCTGCGTGGACCGCCCGTCACCCTTCCATGTCCTCTGTTTCCAATTCTCATCCCCGCGCGCCCATCTCTCCCTCGCTTCTCGCCAATCCGCAGGCACCGTCGCCATCGCGTCGCTACCAGACGCCCCGCGGGTTTCCGCCCCTCCATGCTCTCTTCTCCCTTCTCTAACGTGCCATCTCCCCCTTTTGAGGCGCCTCAAAGGTCATCTCCCCCTTTCTCATCTCCAACACTCCCCCCTCTTCTCGTCAATCCCCAGGCACCCACGCCATCGCGTCGTCCGGGTCCGCGTCACCTCCGCCTTTGTCAACTCTGGCGCGCGCATCACCCTGCCGTCTCCCCCTTTCCCATCTCCAACAATCCCCCCTCTACTCGTCAACCCCCAGGCGCCCACTCCATTGCGTCGTCGGGGTCGGCGTCGCTCCCGGACGGCGCCACGTGCTACCTCGACAGCGCGCGGCGGCCCGTGTATCCCTTCTGCCGCAGCAACAAGCGCAAGTGAGTGCCTTCGCTTACCTTCGTTTACCTTCGCTTACCTTCGTTTACCTTCGCCTACCTTCGTGTGCGTGACTGGGATGAGTGCGCTCCGTTTTGAGTTGCGCTCTCTGGCCTGCCGGTGAAAGCATTGAGTTGCCCGTCAATGCTGGTGGCTTGGTGGTCGGCTCCTCCCGGTCGTAGGATCCACCGACGCGTTGCCAGCCTCCGTTCCCTCTCCCCCCAGCTGCTTGTTGTCGGAGGTGCCGTCGCCGTCGCGGGATGTACACATGGGCGCGTGCCACAGGCTTCATCGCCCCCCTTCCTCCTTCCCTGACTTTCCTTTCCCCTGCCTTCTCTCCCCGCAGCTGCGTGGTCACTCAAGTGCCCTCAGCGTCGCAGGCGAAGTACGTCGGCCGATGCGACTCCACCTACACCAGTACGCGCCCTCCCCCTTCCCCTGCCTGCCCTCCCCCTTCCCCTGCCCCCTCTCCCCCTCCCCTCCTCCTTGCCAGCCATCCTTCACCCACTCCTTTCTTCCCCCTCCTCCTTTTCCCACTCCTTTCTTCCCCCTACTCCTTTTCCCACTGCTTTCTTCCCCCTCCTCCTTTTCCCACTGCTTTCTTCCCCCTCCTCCTTTTCCCACTGCTTTCTTCCCCCTCCTCCCTCCCCCCTTCTCCCTTTCCAACCCTTCCTCGATTCCCGTTATTTGCGATCCCCCTTTCCCGCCCACCGCCCCCTCTCTCGCCCACCTCCCTCTCTCTCACCCACCTCCCTTTCTTTCCCTCCTCCGTCCAAGCACAAGTCTTCCTCTCTTCCAGCAGCATCATCCTCACATTCTCACCTCTCCACTTCTCCCCTCCTCACATTCTCACCTCTCCACTACTCCCCTCCTCACATTCTCACCTCTCCCCCACTCCCCTCCTCACATTCTCACCTCTCCCCCACTCCCCTCTTCACATTCTCACCTCTCCCCCACTCCCCTCCTCACATTCTCACCTCTCCCCCACTCCCCTCCTCACTTTCTCACCTCTCCCCCACTCCCCTCCTCACATTCTCACCTCTCCCCACTCCCCTCCTCACATTCTCACCTCTCCCCCACTCCCCTCCTCACATTCTCACCTCTCCCCCACTCCCCTCCTCACATTCTCACCTCTCCCCCACTCCCCTCCTCACATTCTCACCTCTCCCCCACTCCCCTCCTCACATTCTCACCTCTCCCCCACTCCCCTCCTCACATTCTCACCTCTCCCCCACTCCCCTCCTCACATTCTCACCTCTCCCCCACTCCCCTCCTCACATTCTCACCTCTCCCCCACTCCCCTCCTCACATTCTCACCTCTCCCCCACTCCCCTCCTCACATTCTCACCTCTCCCCCACTCCCCTCCTCACATTCTCACCTCTCCCCCACTCCCCTCCTCACATTCTCACCTCTCCCCCACTCCCCTCCTCACATTCTCACCTCTCCCCCACTCCCCTCCTCACATTCTCACCTCTCCCCCACTCCCCTCCTCACATTCTCACCTCTCCCCCACTCTCCTCCTCACATTCTCACCTCTCCCCCACTCCCTCCTCACATTCTCACCTCTCCCCCACTCCCCTCCTCACATTCTCACCTCTCCCCCACTCCCCTCCTCACATTCTCACCTCTCCCCCACTCCCCTCCTCACATTCTCACCTCTCCCCCACTCTTCTCTCTTCCCTCTCCCCACACTCCCTCCTCCCTCCCTCCCGCTTAACAAGCAGGAGGCTCCTTCTGTCGCTATGCAGGCACGCCATACACCCTAGGCACCAAGAACCAAGGGGCAGTGCGCTTTTTTATCGTCTCATCTCCTCACCCTCTCTCTCCTCCGTCCCTCTGTCCCCATCCCCTCTCCCCTTCCACCAGAGGGCTCCTTCTGCCGCTATGCCGGCACGCCATACGCGCTTGGCACCAAGGGCATCGAGGGCAACGCTCTCTGCAAGACGTGCGACTGCACATATAGAAGGAAGATGCCCGGACCCAACCGGGCAGTCTGCACCTGCTCCTCGCTGCCCGCCTGCTACGTCGACTACAACGGGCAGCCCGTGGGAAAATTCAGCTGCCCAGAAGAGCAAAACATGTACGGGGGCAGATAATGGCCATGACCCATCTGCATCATGTCCCGACCCGTTGCCATGCATCTCATGCCACGTCATCCCCACTGATTTCCCTCCTCCTGATCCAACCTCGTGCATCTCACTACGCCAAGGCTTCCCTTCCATTGTGCTCCTGCTCCTGGTGCATCTCAACCGCCCTCTTTCCACTGCTGGCTCTGCATTCTCCTTGCATGCAAGTTTGATGCCCCCCTGCATTCTGCTCCTCTGATCCTTCTTCGCTGCCGCCTCTCAACCGTGTACTCCTGTCCGTGGCCCCTCCTGCATCCCACAATCCATCCCCTTCCCCCCCATCGCCAGGTGCGTGATCACCAAGATAGGGGGAGGCGGCAAGGACAAGAAGGGGCTGCCCATAGACAAAGGCGTGTGTGTGTTCTCTGGCATCCGTAAGTCACACCCCTATACTCCCCGTGACTTCGCCACACGCCCACACGCCCACACACCCACACACCCATACACCCATACACCCACACACCCATACCCACACACTCATACCCACACGCTCATACCCACACGCTCATACCCACACGCTCATACCCACACGCTCATACCCACACGCTCATACCCACACGCTCATACCCACACGCTCATACCCACACGCTCATACCCACACGCTCATACCCACACTCCCTGTCAATACCGATGTGCCTATGGCCCTACAAAGGACAGGAAGGGGCTGCCCATAGACAAGGGCGTGTGTGTGTTCTCATATTGAAGTTGCCATACCCATGCCAATGCCCATACCCATACCCATACCCATACCCATACCCATACCCATACCCATGCCCATGCCCATACCCATACCCATACCCATACCCATACCCATACCCATGCCCATACCCATACCCATACCCATACCAATGCCCATACCCATACCCATACCCATGCCCATACCCATGCCCATACCCATACCCATACCAATGCCCATACCCATACCCATACCAATGCCCATACCCATACCCATACCAATGCCCATACCCATACCAATGCCCATACCCATACCCATACCTATGCCCATACCCATACCCATACCTATGCCCGTGACTTTCCCCCCTCCTCTTATCGTCCAGTGATAGATGCTCCCAGTGCTCCCGGTGCTCCCGGTGCTCCCGGTGCTCCCGGTGCTCCCAGTGCTCCTCATAACTCTCCTTGTCTCTCCTCCCATACCTCCTCAAGGCATCTGTGGAGCAGCTAGCCCCAGCTGGGGGCCCAAGTTGTTCATGGCTGGCTATAAAGGCATGCCCAAGCCGGCCGCCAGGTGCTCGCAGTGCCCCTATTGCCTCTTTTTTCTCTCCCTGATCCTCCTCCCATCCCCACAGCGGGCATCTGTGGGGCAGCCAGGCCTGCCTGGGGGCCCAAGTACTTCATGGCAGGCATAGAGGGCATGTTCTAGCCGGGGGGGTAGATGCTCGCAGTGTGCCCCTATTGCCTCTTCTCTCTCTCCCTGCTTTCTACTTCCATACCCCCCCAAAGAGGGCATCTGTGGAGCAGCGGGCCCCAGCTGGGGGTCCCAAGTTTTTGTATATGGCAGGCACAAAGGGCATGCCCAAGCCGGGGGGTAGATGCTCGCAGTGCCCTTATTGCCTCGTCTTTCTCTCCCTGCCTCCCCTCCCATCCCTGCAGAGGGCATCTGTGGAGCAGCCGGCCTGTATGGCAGGGGTGGGTCAAAGGCACGCCCAAGCCTGGGGATAGGTGCTTGCAGTGCACTCAATGTCTCACGTGTCTTATCCCCATCCCTCCCTTCTCCCTCTCTCGTCCCTGCAGAGGGTATCTGCGGAGCAGCGGGCCCCAACTGGGGACCTAAATTCTACATGGCAGGGATCAAGGGAATGCCCAAGCCTGGGGATAGGTGCTCGCAGTGCACGTGCGGGGCCACCGGGGGGCTGCTCAACTGCAAGCGACTGGCCAACTGCAAGACGCCCCAGAGCTTCGGGAGTGCTGCTGAGCTGGCCATTGTGCTGCAAAATGTGTAGCAGCAGCAGTAACAGTGGCTGTAGCAGCAGCTGCAGCAAGAGGGAGTGCACAGTGGGGAGGGGGCTGCTGAGCTGAGCTGCCCATTGTGCTGCAGAACGATTGAGCCATGACTGTGGCAGGGCTCTGGCAGTGGCAGCAGTATCCCCAGCTGTAGCAGCTGTAGCAGCTGTAGTAGATAGATCCTGTTGCACGGCAAGGGGGATGATCCGATCATCGGAGGGAGCCAGGCTTTGGTCAGTCTAGCCTGACATGGTGTGGCTTCCTTGTGTGTATGTGCCTGCTTTCAATAAAGGTGCTCTTGGTTCTGTAGAGGAGGCTTGTTGTCACCTTTCGACAGAGGGCAGAGAGCACGGGCAAATGAATGGCCCGTCGTCAGATTCAAGCCCTAAGGCACACGTATACCTGCCTTGGACGGCATGTTCCACTAATGGGATGAATCGAGAGGCAGGTCAATGAGCACAGCAGCCACAACAGCTGCTCGTTCCAGGCATCAGGCACGCCTGGCAGATTGTAATAACAAGAACGTACTACAATGCGAAGCTTCAATCAGCACAGCTGCATCAGCAGCTGCTAGTTTCAGAGGCATCCGGCATGCCCAGAAAGCACCAGTGGGCGCAGTCTCAGTTGGCTGTAAGTACACATGATTTCAGTGCACATGCTTTAACTGCAAATCCTTTAAGTGCACATCCTTTAAGTGCACATGTTTCCAGTCCATCAACACAAGAGTCTCAAGAGCTGCTCGTTCCACGCATCTGGCACACCCGGCAAGCACCAGTGGGCGCAGTCGGCCTGCCCGCCAGCCAGCCCCGAGAAGCCACCTGGATGACCGTCGTGCCGCATGAGGCTCATCGCTGCTACCTCCAGAATCACCACCCGCGCCCCCTCTAGCCTTGGCCCCTCCACACCCTTTCCCTCTACCCACGCCCCCTCTAGCCTTGGCCCCTCCACTCTCACTTCCCCCACACTCTCCCCCTGTGCCTGTAACCTCCCTCCCTGTGCATGTAGCCCCTCTCCCTGGCCTCCTTCCATCCTTCTCTCTTCCATCCATAAGCCCTCCACCTCTGGCCTGTCACTGCTTGCCTTTTTGCCCCCCTCGCCCGCTCGTGCTTGTGCCACCCGTTCTCCATCCTTTTGCTGTAACCTCTCATGCTGCAACTCCACCTGCTCTAAGGTCTTCTCTTCTAGAATTTTATTTATTGAATGAATATCTTGCCACTGGTGTAGCCTCCCCTGCTCCTTCGTACCTGACTGTGAGCCAGCGTGTGACGAGGTGTCGGCGTGTAACGAGGTGTTACCGCGTGACAACACATCTGGGCGTAACAACAAGCCAGCAATTGGGCGTGCCAATGCCCTTCTCTGTACCGCAGCAGATTCTGCTGCTCCAACCACCACCTGCCGTAACTTCCTCCTCATCCCTATTCCCACACTCTCTTCCCTCCTCCTCCTCTTCTCCTCTCTCCCCCTCTGCCTCCTACCATACTCCCTCACCTCCTCTCTCACCACCTCATTCAACCGTTCAACCCGCTCCCACTGCACTCTGTACTCGTTATAAGCCTCCTCCTCGCTCCCCACAGGCCCCACCGCATCACAATACCCCCTTCCCCGCTTCTTACTAGATCTACTCTTAGATAACTTCTTTGCACCACTAGCCTCAAGCAATTTCCGTCGCTTAGCTAAGCGTTCAGAGGGGCCTGAGTCGGGGCTAAGTGGAGACTCAAGGGAGTTAAGTTTAAGGGAGTTGGATTGAAGTGTAGAGTCAAGAGACCGTGGATTGGAGGGTTTATGGGAGAAGTGGTTGGGAGAGGAGGTGGTAATGATGACTGTCTTGTTGGTCATGCGGCGCGATGCAAAGCGGTGCAGCGTGGTGCGGATGGCTTTCCGGTAGGCAGAGAGCACAGCGAGGGATTTGTCGGGCCGTGAGAAGCTCACGTGGCGCTCTGAGAGCTTGCCACGTGTCCACCAGTGGCCTGAGTAATGAGGAAAAGTAGGATAATGGAAAGAGGTGGGGGATAAGGGGAGGAGGGAGAGTGAGGGGAGGTGAGGGTGCAAGTGGACGAGAGAAAAGCGGAGAGAAGTGAGAAGAGATACATGTGTACGCAAGTGTAACCATATGCATGAATGTGTTTAGCAAAGTGGAAAAAATCGGCAGGCCGTTTTATTCGATCGTTTTTTTTAATCGTTTTTTTCGGCGATTTTGGGAAAAAACGCCGATTTTTCAATAGGACACTCAAAAAAAAAAAAACAAACAAACAAAACAAAAAAATTCGTAGAAAGCCTAAACGTCTGCCCAGTTCCACGCATTCCGTCCATCGAAACGCGAGACACCGCATTTTGGCAGGGTGATACCAGATCCGCGCATTTTAGTGGGCGAAATGTCAGATCTGTGCATTTCGTCCACCAAAACGCGGGATCCATCACATTTTGGCAGGAAAAATGCCAGATCCGCGCATATCAGCTGGCGAAATGCCAGATCTGCGCAATTCGCCAGTATTTTTTACCCTTCAAAAAAAAAAAAAAAAAAAAATCGGCCGATTTTTTTTACCAAAAAAAATCAGATATCTTCAACCGTTTTATACCGAATAAAACGGCCGAAAAATACGGTAACGTAGCAAACGGCCTGAAAATGAAAAAAACGCCGTTTTTTTAAACCCTGTGTTTAGGGTGCATGCCAGAATCACAATAACAGCTCTCCCCTTATCGCTGTCAACAATGAGAACGTCGCAGTCTTTGACTGGCTTCTTCCACCAGTTGCCCGGGCGAGACAGGTGCATGTGCGTGCATCCCGGAATCCCAGCATCCCCACCCCACATCACACCACCAGCATTGCCGTCACCACCACAAACAAGAAAGCATCACCAGCAGCACCCTCCCCTGACCCGAATTGACCCGAATTGACCCGAATTGAGCCGAATTGACCCGAATTGACCACCCGAAACACAAACACGGCGTAGCTTTTCACCTGCTTCTTCCACCGGTTGTCCAGGCGAGGGAGGTGCATGTCCATGCATAGCGACACCACAGCACCAGCACTCGCTAGCGACAAGCAAGCATCACTAGCACCAACAACTTCCTCACCGCTGTTGACCACAAACGCGTCAGCACTGTCACCCTCACCTGAATTGACCACGAACACGTCGTACTCCTTCACCCGCTTCTTCCACCGGTTGTCTGGCTGAGAGAGGTCCAGCGTTGCGCCCTTGAACTCGTTGGTGGGGTCCTTGAAAGTGATGTTGGCGAGGAAGTTGCTCCTGTGGGGACGGGTAGAGGGCAGTTGGGGAGGCAACGGGGCAAAGACTCAGCGCATGGTGGGTTGTCCGGGCCAAAGAGGTCCAATGTTGCGCCCTTGAGCACCGTACGTGCGGTCGTTGAACGTGATGTTTGTGAGGAAGCCGCTCCTGGGGAGGATAGGGGGGAGTTGGAAGCCAACGGAGCAAAGGCACAGTGCTTGGTTGGTTGTCTGGCCAATCCGGCATTGCGCGAACATTGAACGTGATGTTTGTGAGGAAGCTGCTCCTGGGGAGGATGTGGGGGATGAGGGGGACGAGGGGGACGAGGGGGAAGAGGGGAAAGAGGGACGAGGAGGATAGAGGTAGCAAGGGGATGAGGTAGCCAAGGGGGATGGAGGGTAGCGAGGGGACGAGGATGTGGGCAGTGGTGAGTGCGGCTGCTCTGCTCCCATCTCACCCCCCTCTCCAAGCAAGCAGGCATACCGAGCAAGCAGGCATACCGAGCAAGCAGGCATACCGAGCAAGCATACCGAGCATACCGAGCAAGCATACCGAGCATACCGAGCAAGCAGGCATACCGAGCAAGCAGGCATACCGAGCAAGCAGGCATACCGAGCAAGCATACCGAGCAAGCAGGCATACCGAGCAAGCAGGCATACCGAGCAAGCATATCGAGCATACCGAGCAAGCATACCGAGCATACCGAGCAAGCATACCGACCGAGCATACCGAGCAAGCATACCGACCGAGCATACCGAGCAAGCATACCGAGCATACCAAGCAAGCATACCGAGCATACCAAGCAGGCATACCGAGCATACCAAGCAAGCATACCGAGCATACCAAGCAAGCATACCGAGCATACCAAGCAAGCATACCGAGCATACCAAGCAAGCATACCGAGCATACCAAGCAAGCATACCGAGCATACCAAGCAAGCATACCGAGCATACCAAGCAAGCATACCGAGCATACCAAGCAAGCATACCGAGCATACCAAGCAAGCATACCGAGCATACCAAGCAAGCATACCGAGCATACCAAGCAAGCATACCGAGCATACCAAGCAAGCATACCGAGCATACCAAGCAAGCATACCGAGCATACCAAGCAAGCATACCGAGCATACCAAGCAAGCATACCGAGCATACCAAGCAAGCATACCGAGCATACCAAGCAAGCATACCGAGCATACCAAGCAAGCATACCCAAGCAGCATACCAAGCAAGCATACCGAGCATACCAAGCAAGCATACCGAGCATACCAAGCAAGCATACCGAGCATACCAAGCAAGCATACCGAGCATACCAAGCAAGCATACCGAGCATACCAAGCAAGCATACCGAGCATACCAAGCAAGCATACCGAGCATACCAAGCAAGCATACCGAGCATACCAAGCAAGCATACGAGCATACCAAGCAAGCATACCGAGCATACCAAGCAAGCATACCGAGCATACCAAGCAAGCATACCGAGCATACCAAGCAAGCATACCGAGCATACCAAGCAAGCATACCGAGCATACCAAGCAAGCATACCGAGCATACCAAGCAAGCATACCGAGCATACCAAGCAAGCATACCGAGCATACCAAGCAAGCATACCGAGCATACCAAGCAAGCATACCGAGCATACCAAGCAAGCATACCGAGCATACCAAGCAAGCATACCGAGCATACCAAGCAAGCATACCGAGCATACCAAGCAAGCATACCGAGCATACCAAGCAAGCATACCGAGCATACCAAAAGCAAGCATACCGAGCATACCAAGCAAGCATACCGAGCATACCAAGCAAGCATACGAGCATACCAAGCAAGCATACCGAGCATACCAAGCAAGCATACCGAGCATACCAAGCAAGCATACCGAGCATACCAAGCAAGCATACCGAGCATAACCAAGCAAGCATACCGAGCATACCAAGCAAGCATACCGAGCATACCAAGCAAGCATACCGAGCATACCAAGCAAGCATACCGAGCATACCAAGCAAGCATACCGAGCATACCAAGCAAGCATACCGAGCATACCAAGCAAGCATACCGAGCATACCAAGCAAGCATACCGAGCATACCAAGCAAGCATACCGAGCATACCAAGCAAGCATACCGAGCATACCAAGCAAGCATACCGAGCATACCAAGCAAGCATACCGAGCATACCAAGCAAGCATACCGAGCATACCAAGCAAGCATACCGAGCATACCAAGCAAGCATACCGAGCATACCAAGCAAGCATACCGAGCATACCAAGCAAGCATACCGAGCATACCAAGCAAGCATACCGAGCATACCAAGCAAGCATACGAGCATACCAAGCAAGCATACCGAGCATACCAAGCAAGCATACCGAGCATACCAAGCAAGCATACCGAGCATACCAAGCAAGCAAAAAAAAAAAAAAAAAAAAAAAAAAACAAGCATACCGAGCATACCAAGCAAGCATACCGAGCATACCAAGCAAGCATACCAGCAAAGCATACCAAAAAGCAAGCATACCGAGCATACCAAGCAAGCATACCGAGCATACCAAGCAAGCATACCGAGCATACCAAGCAAGCATACCGAGCATACCAAGCAAGCATAGACATACCAAGCAAGCATACCGAGCATACCAAGCAAGCATACCGAGCATACCAAGCAAGCATACCGAGCATACCAAGCAAGCATACCGAGCATACCAAGCAAGCATACCGAGCATACCAAGCAAGCATACCGAGCATACCAAGCAAGCATACCGAGCATTACCAAGCAAGCATACCGAGCATACCAAGCAAGCATACCGAGCATACCAAGCAAGCATACCGAGCATACCAAGCAAGCATACCGAGCATACCAAGCAAGCATACCGAGCATACCAAGCAAGCATACCGAGCATACCAAAGCAAGCATACCGAGCATACCAAGCAAGCATACCGAGCATACCAAGCAAGCATACCGAGCATACCAAGCAAGCATACCGAGCATACCAAGCAAGCATACCGAGCATACCAAGCAAGCATACCGAGCATACCAAGCAAGCATACCGAGCATACCAAGCAAGCATACCGAGCATACCAAGCAAGCATACCGAGCATACCAAGCAAGCATACCGAGCATACCAAGCAAGCATACCGAGCATACCAAGCAAGCGTACCGAGCATACCAAGCATACCCCATCCAGAGCCCTCAGGTCTCTAACGAACCCCGTCCATTGACCTCAACGCGTGAGCGTGTGAGCTGTGGGCAACAAGAGCACGGCTGCAGAATTAGCTCCCACCTACAGGTCCACCGTGTTACGTGAGTTGAGTGAAGCAGAGCCTGCACGGAGGCTGCTCTGCTCCCATCTCAGCAGCCTAGAACTCTCGCAACAGCATTCGCCCTGACCACCATGGGATTGCAGACATTAGTGTTTGGCACAATAAGACATGTAGCTGAGGTTAGCGAGGGTGGCGTTGCAGTGCGGCTGGCCCCATCAAAGTAACCTCGCCACCACGTTGGTGCGCATCACCTCGGAATGCAGCATGCAAGCCATGCTCGCATGTTCAACCGTACCTGAGGTTAGCTAGTGTGACGTTGCACTGCGGCTGGCCCCATCTGAGTATTCTCTCCACCACGTTGGTGCGCACCACGTGGGGATGGCCGCAGCGCGCGTGCAGCATGCACGCCATGCTCTCGAACATATTGCGCATCATGCTGTCGCCCACAAACGCCACGCGCGCCATGGCTCCCCCTGCATGCCCCACGCGTGCCATCATAGCCCCCTTAGCCCCGGCATGCCCCATGCCGGTCGTGCTATCCCCCGCTTGCCCCAATGCGTCACACCACGATCTCTCATCGACATTTTGCCCCCCACCTCCCTTCTTTCCCCCTCCCATGCCGACTGCTATTCCTCCTCCCGTCTCCCCCTCCTCGCGCTGCCGCCATGCGTATCGCTCGAATCTCGTGTCGTGCCGGCCGTTGGATCGGCAGTTCTGCCCGGGGAAGATGAACGGACAGGATGCAGCGGAGTAGAGCGGCCAGGATGTGTCCCCCTCATCCACCCACCGCCACCCCCACTCGCCTCTCCCTTCCCCGCTGTCCTCTCCCCCTCTCTCTCCCCCTCCCCCTCCCTCCCCCCTTCCCCCCTTGCTTTCTCTGCCCCCTCCTCCTCCCTCTCCTCCTACCCCTCCTCCACTCTTCCTTCCTCTCTCCCCCCCTCTCTCTCCTGCCCCATCCCCTACCCCAACCGTACCCCCAACCTCCACGCTATCCTGCACCGCGCGCGCTCCTGGCATCGCCTCACTGCCCGGGCCAGGAGGCAGCGCTGGAGGCGCCACAGGAGAAAGCCGCGGACCAGGCAGCGCTTGGGGCGTCTGCGAGCCAGCAACCTTGCCAGCCGCTGAGTGCCGCGCTTGGGACGCCTGAGATGGCTCTTGAGGCGCGTCACGAGATGGCACGGTGAGCTCCATGGCAGTTCCCCCCCGCCTGGCGGGCGGGCCGGCGCGCTCATCATCCCCCGCCCTCGCCTGCGCCCCTTCCTCTTCTCCCTCCTTCCTCGCTTCGTCTCCTATCGCCTCGGCCCTTGTCCCTTCCGCTACAGTCACACCATCACCTCCCGTCAGCAGCTTCCACCCCTCTCGGCGCCCTCCTCCCCTTAAAGCGCCGTCTGACGTCATCTCCATCAGCTGCCGCGCGGAGAACCCGCCGCGAGTCGCGGACGGCCCGGCAAACACGCGGAAGAAGCCGGCTGGCGCACCTAGAGGGTAATCTGACGGCTCCGAGGCGTCTTTTCCGGTGCTAGCACCGCGATCGTCGCCGTGATTCGCGGCGGTGCGGAGAAAGGCCGGCCACAAGCCGGCACACCCCAGGAGGACGAGGAGAGCGAAGAGGCGGGGAAGGGAGACGCAGCTCGCGACACCTGCTCGCGCTGGCGACTTCGGCGAGCCCTTGGCGAACTGTTGCGAAGGAGGTGTAACTGTCGCAGGAGTGTGGCACTGCTCTGGTGGCGGTTTCGGCGACATGCGAAGCATGGAGTCGCGACGTTCGCCCAGTTTAGAGTCCATGGTTACCCGATCGTGACGCCACTGCGACCTACACGAGAAAGAATGTCGCTCTCCTACACGGGGAAATCGGAAGCGCTGCGGAAGCTTTCTTTGGGACGCCTCGGCTTTATAGGTTAAAGCGGCCCCACCGTTTATTCCTCCCTAAATACCTCGCCATTCCGCATACGCGCCCCTCACAACGCCCCTAGAGAGATCTTCAGCTGTCTCACGCCGCCTGCCTCACGCCGCCTGCCTCACGCCGCCTATCTCACGCCGCCTATCTCACGCCGCCTGTCTCACGCCGCCTGACTCACGCCGCCTGTCTCACGTGAGATCTTCACACCTCCCCGAAGATCTCAGAACCAAGTCCGGCCGGACCATGAACGACAAAACGGCTAATCGATGTGTCCATCCATCGCAATTCCTCGTAATCCGAGAATTCCAGTCGTTTAGCGAGTCACAGCGAGACGCGAGCGACTGAGTCGGGTGGGTCAGGTGAAGTCGGGATTGTCGAGACGCGTAGATTATGAATTATGCAAGGTGGACAGGACAGGACAGCAAGGACGGAGGGAGGGAGGTGAGACCGTGACTGGGAGCTGAGGTGTCTAACTACGACTACTTGCACTTACTGACGGCGCCGCTAGTCGGTTGGCTGACGGCAGCCACGCAAGTCGCCGCGGCGCGCCATGGCACGACGGCGGGTGCATGATTAGCGAAACCCTGCTCTGGCTGTAACCGAAAGCTAACGAAATGATGACGACGAGTTACCTTTCTCTACGAAGATTTGGCGACCCGAAAAAACATAACTTGCCCGCGGTTTCTGGTTGGGTTCACAACAAGCATCACTGGGAGCTTCCGCTACTAGCACAATTTCCGATAAGAAAAGAAAAACACGGGAATTTTAGTCGTCTTTTCTCAGCATAATTCAGCTTCCGTTCGTAACCACCATTAGAGTACTAGGAAATGGAATTTCGCATACAACAACTGTACCGGAAAAAATCTACTCATAACGAGATTTTTTCGCAAAACCTCCAGCCAAGTTTTGGCTGCCATAGTTGCCGAATCGCCTTGTTCCCTAAAGCCGCGCGCAAGAACAGGTGAGAAGAACACTAAATGGTAGAAATTGCTGGGAATTACTTTTCCGATTCCTCCGTACTTTTTTTCACAAACAGACCCCTTTCTCCCCGTCATCGTTCCGCCTGGTCCCGCGATAATCGTTCAGCCTTCCACTGGAAGCCCGAATACCCGCCATGCGTCGCTCCCCTCTCCTCCTCGTCTTGCTGCTGTCTCATCTCGCCGCCATCTCCTCGTCGCATCTCCACCGTTCATCCACCATCGCCAGCCGCGAGTCACGCGAACGCGACGAGCCGCCGTCCGCAACCCCGGCCTCTCAAATCCGTCCGTTGCTCTTTAATCGGCGAAAATCCACACAAACACGTTTACCGTCGCCAAAGTTTGTACTAGTCTCGTCGCCATCGTCGCCATCGTCGCCATCGTCGCAGCGTCGGTTTCTCACAGAAAACGTCGCAGCAGCAGACCGGCATGCGCAACCCGTCGCACAGCGCGCGCGTGGCGACTCGAAGACCGCCGCTCTCTTCCCGCGCATTCCCGAGACTCTAGCGCGCGCAGAGCCGAACGCGCCTGTCGCAGCAACGTCGCAGCAGGAGTCGCCTGCGACGGAAGGCGACGACCCGATAGAGCGCGCGAATATCGTGGGGAGAGCGGAACTCTATGTGGCGGATGGCATGGGAGCGGTGAAAGACACCTCATCCTCGTTATTAGCCTCTCCAGTATTGGCGGAAAATGGCCAAAGCCCTGTTTTGACTGAGGTCAACGTGGGGCTGGACGGGTTGGTGGTGGAATCCCCTTGTGATTCTAACGAGGGGTTTTGGGAGGAGGATTCGGATTGGCCTCTTTATAAGGCAGGAGACTGCCCCCTCATTTGGAACACTGGCAATCAGTGCATGGAAAACGGCAGGCCGGATACTCTTTATCAGCGGCTTCGATACAAGCAACCTCGGTGCCCCGCGCCCAAGCTCACCGGGAACACTTTGTGCTCGTTATTGGCGAACAGGAGCATCGCGTTTGTGGGTGATTCGTTAACGGAGAACATGTTTGAGTCGCTGATCTGCTTGTTGCACCGCTTCCAGGGCTCGCCTGTCCCTGTGAACATTGACCAGAAGGAGCGAGTGCTGACGTGGCGTGCCTGCAACGTCACTGTCGCTTTCTACTGGTGAGTCGACAACTGGGGGAGGGGGGATGTGTGAGGGCTCGCCTGTGCCAGTGAACGTGGAGCAGAAAGTGCGGCGCTGGCCTGCGTGCAATGGAACCGCTGCCTTGTACTGGTGAGTTAGCGATCAGAGGAGGGGGGGTGTTTGAGTCGCTGACTTGCTTGTTGCACGGGCACCCGCACTTGTGTACGTGGAGCAGAAAGACAGAGTGCTAAGATGACCTGCTTGCAACGTCACTGTTCCCCTTAACTGGTGGGGCTTCTGCTTGTGAGAGGCGGCGGGGGGAGGACTGTGTAGGGCTCCCGTGCAATGCTGGATTTCTTATGCAACCCATTGCAATTAGTTGCCTTGTTTTCGCCCAGAGCGCCCAGGAGGGAGGGAGGGAGGGAGGGAGGGAGGGAGGGAGCGCCCCAGAAAGGCCTTGTTGTTATGACTTGACGCTCTCACGCCATCTCTCTTCCCTCTCGTGCCTCGCCAATCCATGCCCCCAAGCCACTTCTCTCTCACGCAATTTCCCAGCTCCTTCTTCCCTTTGATGCTCGATGAATTCCCACAGGAGTGCCTATCTCCGCAGCCTGATCCCCTCTCTGCGCCTCGTGAGCACTGCCAGGGAGGGACTCACAACGAGTCCCCTTGCTGCCCCCTCTTCCGCCTTCGCCTCTCCCCTTCCCCTCTCCCCTTCCCCTCTCCCCTTCCCCTCTCCCCTTCCCCTCTCCCCTTCCCCTCTCCCCTTCCCCTCTCCCCTTCCCCTCCCCCCTTCCCCTCTCCCCTTCCCCTCTCCCCTTCCCCTCTCCCCTTCCCCTCTCCCCTTCCCCTCTCCCCTTCCCCTCTCCCCTTCCCCTCTCCCCTTCCCCTCTCCCCTTCCCCTCTCCCCTTCCCCTCTCCCCTTCCCCTCTGCCCTTCCCCTCTCCCCTTCCCCTCTCCCCTTCCCCTCTCCCCTTCCCCTCTCCCCTTCCCCTCTCCCCTTCCCCTCTCCCCTTCCCCTCTCCCCTTCCCCTCTCCCCTTCCCCTCTCCCCTTCCCCTCTCCCCTTCCCCTCTCCCCTCTCCCCCTCTCCCCTTCCCCTCTCCCCTTCCCCTCTGCCCCTCCCCTCTGCCCCTCCCCTACCCCCCCTTACCCCTTTGAATCCGTTCCCCCAGGAGCGCCTTTCTCACCAACCTGACTCTGTCCGAGCGGGGCGAGCACAGCAAGGGAGGTCACATGGACGCCCCTTGCTGCCCCACACCTATCTCCCCTCTCAACGCCCTGTCCTCCCTTGGTCCCCCTTCACTTGTTCTCCTCCCCCCAGGAGCGCCTTCCTCACCAACCTGTCTCTGTCGGAGCCGGGCGAGCACAGCAAGGGCGGCCAGCTGGACCTGAGCCACGTGGACATGCACTGGGGCCGCCACGTGGCAGAGCATGACATCTTTGTGATCAACACAGGTCCGCTACTACGACCATAGTACATTCTTAACTCGTGATCATTAGAGGAAGTCTGACCAACCCATGCAACCAGTGACACTGTCGGGGGCGTTAACACACAAGTTGATTCGCGTCAACTGGGCTCGGCAACGTGACAAGTCCCAAGTTGGTAGGAATCTAGACTCGACTTTTTTCTCACACTTTCTCCATGTGTTTCTGCCCATGTCTCTTCACATGGCTCCCCGTGTTTCTCCCCCTCTTCCTCCTACCCCACAGCCCACTGGTGGTCGCCCCAGCGCCTGTGGCTGGGCGGCGCCCCTTGTTCCCGCCCTGCTTGTTAGCCCTGGACACTCCTTGGCCCCCCTCACATGTTTCTCCCCATGCTTCTCCCCGTGTTTCTCCCTCGCTTCCCATCCGACAGCTCACTGGTGGTCGCCCCAGCGCCTGTGGCTGGGAGGGATTCCCTTCTCCCCGCCCTACTCCTCCTTCGCCTCCCCCACTTCCCTCCTCTCCGCCTACCGAACCGCCCTCGACACCGCACTCTCTGCCTTCTCCTCTCCTGCATCTACTAACAAGCTCGTGGTGGTTACCACCAGCGTGCCTGGCCACAAGGAGTCCCCCTCTTCCAGCCAGTGCCCCTACACCACCCCCCTAGAACCCTCAGCCTTTGCAAATGAATCGATGAAACGCCCAGGTTCGCACATGGATAGGTTCAATGCGGTGGTGTGCGGTGCAGTGGAGGAGTACAGGAAGGGGAGAGGATGGAGAGGGTGGGTGGGGCCGGATGCGATTGTTTTGGATATTCACGCAGTGTCGGTGTGGCGGCAAGATGGGCACCCGGGGGTGTTTACGGGAAAGAGTACGGTGGATTGTGGGCATTACTGCTTGCCTGGTGTGCCAGATGCATGGAATGAGATGCTGTTGGCCCAGCTATGGCTGAAATCAAGAGAACTCTAGATTCATTGTCTCTGTACAAATCTGTGTATGCATCTTGTTCCTCAACCACGACTTGCGTGTTTGCCAAGACTCTGGTCACTTCGTCGAATGTGCTACCGTGGAAGGAAATCTACTACTAGTGCTTTTGTTCATTCACCCTCTCAATGGAAATATACTAGCCTGACTGATTACTTAATCTAGTCATTTTCATTTGCCGCTAAAGGTATAACGCTTTCAAGCCCTTGAAGTCGAATCCATCCGTGGCGAATTTTGCTGGTTCCACTCCCCACCGCGTGACACCCAGCAGCACTGTCAAATACTAATCTAGCTAGGGGGAGAAGCCATGGAATGGCGTGGGGTTTAGGAAGTAGGAAAAAATGTCGAGTGAAGAGAGAGTTTGGAATAGAAGAGAGAGGGATACAGGAAGGGGGGTTGTACCCTCTACAGTAGAATCCAGTAACACCTACCAAGCCTACCATTATATATAATTCAAATATATAATTTAACACACCCCCTAGGCTTGGTAGCTGATTGCCCGCCACACGCACAGCACACTAAGCCACACACCCCCTAGCACCCCCATACACAGCAGCAGTGATGGCTACTCAAGCACGGTCAACCCCCACGGCGCGTAAGGCGGGGCGACGTCGACTGCGAGGGCAGCGGCTGCAACGGCGGCGATGGCGGCAGCGTCGACAGCGGCGGCGGCGGCGGCGTGCGGTGGCGGCGGCTTCGACGACAGCTGCCGGCGGCGGCGGAGCTCGCAGCACTCGGCGGCGTGGCCGGGCTCCGCGACGGTGGGGCGGCCGGCGAGAGTCAGCCGTCGGCTGCGGCGAGGAAGAGGGGAAACAGGGGAATGGGGCGGGGCTTCAGCAACGGAGCCCGGGAGCGTGCCGCCCCATGTGGCGCGCTGGCTGCATGCGGGTGTGCTGGCCAGCGTTAAGACGGGGCGCTGGCCGCTGCCGTCCGTGCCGTACGCGCGCTGGCAGCACGTCACCACGGCAGCACGACGGCGCCGTCACACCGCCACGGCTTGACGTCGACGCCGCCGCCATGGCTTGACGTCGACGCCACGGCAGCGCGTCGAGACGGCCGTGGCAGCATGACGCTGCCGGCGGCACGACGACGCCGCCACAGCAGCACGACGCAGCCGCCATGGCAGCACGAGAGAGAGAGGAGGAGTGCGCGGCGGAAGCGTGATAAGCAGGCCCAGGAAGAGCAACCTGCTCTGATACCATGTCAAAGACTAATCTAGCTAGGGGGAGAAGTCATGGAATGGCGTGGGGTTTAGGAAGTAGGAAAAAATGTCGAGAGAAGAGAGAGTTTGGAATAGAAGAGAGAGGGATACAAGAAGGGGGGTTGTACCCTCTACAGTAAAACCCAGTAACACCTACCAAGCCTACCATTTTATATAATTCAAATATATAATTTAACAAGCACCCCCACACACCACCACCCACGCCGCCCTCAACGGGTGACCTACCTGGCTGTCGGAGCCATACTCCGCCGACATGTCGACTCTTGCGCTGCGCCCACTCCCACGCCAAATCAGCTCAGCGGCGGCCCACGGCACCCAGCCAATCACAGTTCGTCATTTCAACCCAACCTCAAGGTCAATTTCGCGTCTTGCTTTCCATCTCGTGGGGCCACTGACCAAATCACAGCCACGCAATTCCACAAGCTCCGAGCCGCATGTGCATTTCAAGCTGTTGAATGCAGGAGATTTGCCTTCCCATCCCCTTCCACACCACACCAGCATATGGGCTGGGAATGGCATGTGCTGGAAAATTGGTCTGCCCCATTTGCTGCTCCTGTCATCAGCCAAACTTGACAGTGGAATTTTTCTCCCAGTCACTACGTTGTTGACTGAACGATACTTGACGGTGGTGCTCGTTCCCCCGTCGGAACTGGCAGCTAGAACCCGTGCACAGAATAGGTCGTTCGTGTGAGTTCGCCTTATAACGCTTCACTCCATAAGACCAGGGCTAGTATAAGCCCTTTGGATCCCACAGCGCACTGATAGTAAAGTCACTTCAGAATTGAGGCGACCTCTGATAGAACGTAGAGGCGCACCTCAGTTTCCATCATCCACGAACAAAGTCTTCGCGCCTAGATTTATGGGGCCAAGGAATTATCGTCCCAATACCGCACGAACAGCATAGATACTGCTACTAAATTCCCCTCGTTACAATCACCGAAGCATCCTCCCCAACCTTCTCCCTCACCTCGTTTCTCGAGTCCTTCACCACCTCGCACCAACTCAAACCCACTCAAGACTGAACTTAATCCCTCTTCAATTCCTCAAACCGCCCTGTCGCAAGGTGCCGCCTAGCTGGCATTGCGGAATTGGTCGAGAAGACCGAGAGGGTCGAGCAGGCGGTGTTCGAGCCGCGATTGATTCAGCCCGCACCGCTCCCTAACGCCGTGGGACGCGCCGAGCTCTATGTCGACGATGGCATGGTGGTCGACGGCTCCGCTGATCCCTCCAATGTGATGCTCCCGGGCGAGTCGGCGGGCGCAAGTAGTAACAGCCTCATTCCGCTGGACGACAATTTGGTAACTGACGTTTCGCCCGTCGCGAAGCAGCAGGTGTTGGAGCGGTGGTTGCAGCACGGCGGTTCCGGAAATCCCAAGGATCGCACGAGCTGCTCGATGGACCGCGGCTCGTGGCAGGTGGATGCCACGTGGCTGCTGTACGATGCCTTGTGTCCGTACATCTACCCGAACCAGAACTGCATGAGAAACGGCCGCCCGGACCACCCCCGGCTGCCCGGTTCCAACACTCGATCAAGCCACGCTCTACAGCCTTGTCGCGGGGAAATCCATGGTGTTCGTGGGCGACTCCGTTACGCGCAACACATTTGAGTCGCTGGCGTGCCTCATGTACGGCTTCTACGACATGCCGGAGGATCTGGCAGGAATCAACATGGCGAACGGGATGAAGCGCGGGTTCGTGCGGCCGGCGTGCAACTTCACCCTGGCGTTCCACCGGACGAATTTCATGGTTGATCTGAAGCTGGATGACCCCGCCAAGCCTAAGGGAGGGGGCGTGATGGACCTGAGCAAGCCGGACGAGAGGTGGATGCGGCGACTGGCGCAACATGATATCTTCGTTATAAACACATGTGAGGAGACTGACTTTTTGTTTAGCTATTCGCTGCATGATTAATGCAACGCTGTTCTACTGGCACAACCATAAGTCACGTGAGCTCACTGCTGATTTGCACATTGTGTACCTGCGCCCATTTCCTGCCATGTGTCTGTAGGTCATTAGTGGACAGATGCGAAGATCAAGAGCTCAAGATTCCGCTTTGCTCCACCCCACCAGGGCTTGTCTGTAGTGGAGGGATTCCAGAAGGCGTGGGAGATGACCCTTGGGCGTCTTCAGGAGCGATCGCATGCGGGGCAAGGTGCTGGTTACTCCAACTAATTCAGCTACCCACTTCACGGGCCAGGATTCTAAGAGTGAGTGCCCGCACACAGCTTTCGATGAACGCCATAGGATTCCTTAATGAGCGGTTTATCAGGAACTATATGACGATGGAGCCTTATAACAGGGTGATGAGGCAGCTTGTATCGAGGATGCATGGGAAGGAGAGGGCGGAGGGGAGAGTGGGAGGAGCACAGGTGGTGTTGTTGGATCAGGCTCGGCCGACCCTGTTTAGAAGTGATAGACACCCAGGCAAGTGGGCGCTGCTGCCCAATGGGGTGAGGGACTGCGAACATTTTTGCCTGCCTGGAGTGCCTGACGTGTGGAACGAGATGATGCTTCAGCAACTATGGGAGCTGGGAGAGGCATGGAGGGAGTAGGGAAGGCTGGTTTCGAGGAGAGGGCTGGTCAAAGGAGAATAAGCCAACAAGGAACTAGTATGCAGGTTTTTGGAATAGAGGTCATGTATATGTGGACTATCTTTGCAAATTCAAGGATGTGCCTTATTTTATTGCTCATCTATAGGTCATATGCGATTGGTGCAACGACGACTAGCTCAAAAATTTCACAGGTGCAATTTATTCCGTAGGTGCAAAACCCAAGTACGCACCCGGCCAATGAAAACAGTCACAGCCAAGCCAACATGTGAAACATTCGTTACCACCATTAGAAATCGTATGTTCCACGTCAATGAGCTCCTGAGTGGTCGACGACCAATTGCGAGCGCAATGTGTCACAAACCTAAACAAATCTCACCGTTGCGATCCACCTACTCACGGGCTGACGCGGAAACACCACGCGCGCCAATCGAAACACGCCATTTGCGATGGCGAAATTTTGTGGAGTTCTGCCACATACTCCTCCACGTTGACGTGTACTGTAGCTTTGAAATGATTGTGGTTTTGATTGCTGTTTTACGTTTTTTATTTTCTAATTCCAACTTCACATAGTTTCGAGTCTGTTTATAGTAGAATCATTTGATGGTTTAGAATCAAATCGTGTTTTGTTCTAATGGAAACACATCAGTTAGCATGCGCACCTGAAACCCAGAGAGGACACGCCATGCGAACACCTCGCGACATGCCTACGTGGACCCTGTCACAGCTAAAGACAGCGCCCCACCCCTGCCAGCTGCGCATACTACAGCGTCCTTGCCCCTGCCAGCTGCGCATACGACAGCGCTCCTACTTTCTTGGGAACGCTACAAGCAAATTTGCCTGGGGTGTACCGCCCTATTTGCTAATTGCCTCATTCCAAAGTCCTGGAGTTTGCAGTACGGAAATACGACCTGTATTATGTTGGTAGAAGTGCACCATGCGCAATACTTCTGAGTTGTGAGGCGTGTTGGGCTGAGACTAAGTCCCAAGAGGGATGTTGTATTTGCGAAAGTGAGGTGTAAGACTTAATGAACCTCTTGCACTGGTATGTGAGAACAAGAGAACTGATTAACACAAACAGCATACAGGAATATATAGTTATTCTAGAATACAGGATAGTTGCTACAGCTGTTGTTGCGCTATCAAGCGTATAGCGGCAGTTACTGTGCAGTAGGGCTGCCACGCAACCTCCACGCGCAACCTCCAGGTGCAACTGCCACGCGTGTAATTGCTACGCGCTTTGGTTACACGCACAACTGCTGCGTGTAACCTCCGTTGACTCGGCGTATACGTTGTAGACCACTCCACAGTATCGCTTAAGTCTCGATACTACAGAACCGGGTTACTTCTCCGATTCTTTGTTTCCAACTCTCCCCTTCGTTTCTGGAGTGTCGACGTGGTCGGGGCGAGTGACGTGGCACTGCCCTGTACGCAATATGCAGTAGTCGAACTTCGACTTCTCGAGTCTTTTGGTCACGTAATCTGCTGCCATCTCATACGTGGGGCAGTAAGACAGCTCGAGTCTCTCCTTCTCGATCTCGTCTTTCACGAAGAAGTAGCACAATGCGATCTGCTTCGTGCGGTTGGCGAAACCGTTCTTCTTCACAATTCGAATTGCGGATTGGTTGTCGCAAAAGAGGGAGAAACTGGGTAACGCGGCGAGCTTGGCCTCTTCCATCAGTTCGCGAAGGTACAGTCCTTCCTTGGTGGCTGTGCAGAGAGCGATATACTCTGCTTCAACAAAGGAGAGAGGAATTAACTCTTGCTTGCTCGACTGCCAAGACATAGGCCCGATGGGCTCTAGGTGGTAAACGTAGTCGGTTCGAGATCGTCTATTGTCAGAGTCATCGACGTGATCAGCATCGACGTAGCCTATTAGCTCACGCGATGCGTTCTTTGTCTAGTGATAGTTTAGACCGATCGTTGTTGTCGAGACAAAATAGTGGAGCGCGCGATTACGTTTAGCTAGGTGCTCCGTCTCAGGCTGTTTGAGGTGGGTGGTGAGTTGGCTTGCCGAGTAGGTCCGGTCGGCACGTTACAGGGGTGAAGATGAGACATCCCAGTTTCTACTGGTAGTCGCGTAGTCCGGCGGACACGAGTGTGGTTGAGTCTGTCGTGTGGCTCGGTGCGGTGCAGTGGTATGGGGTGGAGATTGCAAGCGGGGTGAGGTCGAACCTCTTAGCGATGATGCTGGCGTACTTTGAGGTGCAAGCCGAGGTACTGGCTCACAGAAGGGCAGACTATGAGCGTGAGTTCCCGCTGTAGCTCCCCTTCAAACCAGGCAGTGATTGTAGTAGTTGAGCCTACGTATAGCAGGTCGTCTACGTAGACGATCAGCATTACATAGGCGGCTTCTGATGTGACCCGGTACATACCCTGATCGTGCGGCAACTGTACGAACCCGATGCGGATGAGCCGCGCGTGAAGGTACTAGTGCCAGAGCTGTGGGGATTGCTTAATCCCGTATAGGGATTTCACAAGCTGGCAGATGAGCGTGGGATCTTTGACGAACCTGTGCGGCTGCTCTACGAAGATCTCTACATTGACGGGCGCGTACAGGAACGCATTTGCCACGCCGATCTGGCGTAGCGGCAGGCGATGCATGGCGGCGACTGCGAGCAGGATTTGCAGATATGTTGACTAACGGGCGCAAAGGTTTCCATGGAGTCGCGCCCGTACTGCTGGTCAAAGCCCCGAACGACCCAATGGGCTTTGAAGCGCTCGATCGTGCCATCTACTTTGGTCTTCACTCTGAAAACCCATTTTCCTTAGAGGATTGTTTTGTCGCATGCCTTTGTGATGGGGACCATTTTTCAGGTGTTGCGCTCGTGAAGTGCCTTCAGCACTCTTTCCATTGCTTCGTGCCATTTCTCCATGTGCTCCCCCCCTGAGCCTGCTTGACCATCGTAGGCTCGAGTGGAGGTGGCGTCGAAGCTCCGTGGACGGCGGCGACGAGGTCGAGAAATTGAAGTCCGCTGGGTGCGAAGCGAGGCAAGTGGGGATCCTAGGGATGAACTGCTTTGTCTCCCGCTTCTAGATTAGGTACGAATCCGGGCCAGTTACACTCAGAAACATTGGTGTCAACGGCCAGAGGAGTTACGTAACCGTTGTCGACGAAATGGTAATATGCCCCGACATTCGCACTTTCGCGTGGATCCTCGTCATCCATTGCGATAGGAACGGAGCAGTACGAGAGAGGTCCGCCAGCTTCCGAGGCTCCGTCGATATTCTGCTCGTCCCATTCAGCTTCTTCTGCTAACGAGGCGAAGGCTCGGCTGCCGTTGAATCCACCAGTGGGATCTTGGTCGGCTGTGATGTTGTCCAGGTAAGGCTGCAAGGTGAGTCGTTCATAGAAAATTACGTCACGTGCTGCCACTGTTTCTTTGTCGTTGACGTCGAAGATCTTCCATGCTTGTAATTTTTTTCGATGCTGAAGTGTAGTCCCCACTTGGCGCTATAAGAATCTCCCGGTGCATGTAGTGTGGGGCCTGTACTGTACCATGCATCCGAAAACTCGTAGTAACTTTGTGCTGCCCAGTTTTCCTGTCCACAGCAGGTGCGGTGATGTGTTGTTCGGCAGGGAGGAAGACGATAGCAGGTTATGGAGCATAACGGTGTGGTTTATTGCCTCCGGCCACTGTGAGTTGGGCAGGGACATGCCTCAGATCAGCTTCCTCATCGTCGTCTGAAATATCCTGTTCATCCGTTCTGCTACACTCTGCTGTTGGTGAGCGTAGGGGAGCGAGATGAGTCTTTTGATGCCCTGCTCCGCCAGGTACTGTGTGAAGCAGTGTGACCGGTATTCCATCATTCCATTTGCTTGAAATCTTTTGAGCTTCACCTCCGATTCTCTTTCTGCTACCGGGAGCCAAACTACGAAGGCGTCGAGGGTCTTGGTCGCGGGTCGGAAGGCTGACGTGCCAGACGTAACGAGTTGCTGCATCGATGAACGTGATGGCGTAGTTCAGATCCATGCGCTCTTCGTCCCACGGCATGTAAAGTATATCGCTGTATACATTCTCAAGCTGAGCATAGGCCGGAGCGCTGGGTTGTGGTGCAACGGGAATGGCTGATGTGGTAAGTCTGCTTCTGGGCAGATGAAGCACGTGCCACGAGGTCGTCGAAGTTCACGGCCATCTGGTAGGAGAAGAGCGTCCTTGTCTAGAACTTCCTAGCGAATTGTGTTGTGTAGTGTTGTGTTGCCAGGGTGTCCAAGTCGTTGATGCCATGTTGCTTCATCTGCACGATGTCGCAGATCCCTCCTATATAGGTCGGAGTTTGAGTAGAAGGCGGCGAAGTTGGCGGCGCTTTGGTGGACTTCGCGTGGCGCTGGCGTGAGCTGCTGAGTGGCAGTCGGTATAGCGTCGATAGCTGGCGGTGGTGGTGGTGCCGTTGATGGATTGGCTGCCGGCGTAGGTATATCTATAGTTGCTGGCTCTCCTTCATCTGTTTCTGCTTCTTGCATGACTGCTAACGCTCTCATGCGCTCTGTTTCAGGGATGGTGCGCGAGTGCCAGAAGCCACCCGGGCTGAAGTCAGGATCAAGATCTGGAGGGTGAGTCCAGGAACTAAAGGAGACGATAGTGTCGTTGTCTACGGTGCCGCGATTAAGAACAAATTCCAGAACGAAGACGTTGTTCTTCAGTACGGCCTTCCCGATGTAGAGGCCACCCTTCTTGTGGTACAACTTGAACTCTTGGGTGGTGCTGCCGCACTCCAGGTGAATCCCCTTTGCCATCAACTCGTTGACGCTCAGTAAGTTGTAGCCCAAGCTTTCCGCGATTAGGACTTTCGATATTTGAAGCACCACGTTATTTTCCATGGATTGTAACTGAACAACTCCTTGTTGTCTTGTGCGCGGGTTTTGATTGTTGGCAACAGTGATGACGACTTCGCGGCTGAGTTGTCGCTTGCTTTGAACAAAGCGATCCGAAGAGCACATGTGCTGTCCGCAGCAGCTGTCCAAGAACCATGTATCTCGGCCGGACGACTCGCTTTGACCAATGGCGGCGTAAGTTGGGTTCAGCTCCAGCTGTTCTTGTCGAGGCGGTGCGACTTCT